TTTTCCCACCGCCTGCCCTCCCTCGCACCGTCACACCGCTTCCTTCTCCTTGCACCACACATACCCCAACACATCCTCTCCGTTGCTTCGTCCCATGGACAACTGCACCCGGGCTTCAAGTCGCTTCCCAAACCCCAATCCCCAATCCAAGTCAAACCCTCCCCCCTCCATCACCAACCAAGTCGATTCAAGACACCTCAAGTGGTTTCCCAATTGTTGGAACAAGTGCCCATCTCTCCTCCAAGATCCAAGCAATAGAACCCTCCATCCATCCATCCATCCATTCCACTTCACGATTACAGCTTGCTCGCCGCTTGCTTGTTGCGTTGTTATGCACGCCGCGCCCACACCCACACCCGTTCGCGTCATATGCCTGCGTGCGTGCGTGCGTGCGTCATATGCCTGTGTGTGCACGGGCGTGTGCATGTGTGCATCAAAAGCGCCCCCCCCCACGCGTCATAGCGTCTCCCTGGGCGCGATCATTGCCACTCAGGTAAGAGCACCAGGTCCCCCCCCATATGCCATTGGCGTGGCAGCGTGTATACAACAGGGGGCGTCGCAAATGGAAGCACGGAATTTGACAGAAGGTACGTAAATGTAATGTAACAGACACGTAACAGCAAGCAGTGCGATTAACAGGAGCAGGCAGGAAGCAGCGAAGGAAGAGGAGGAGGAGGGACGCGGGGATAGCTGGTTTGAGAGGGATTATCACTTGGAAGAAGAGGCAGCAGCAAAGAGATGCGTGAACAGAACAGGTGATCACCACTACTAGCGGTAGCAGCACCAACCGCAGGGGACGTGCGTCACGACGACTGGATCATCACAGTCAGGATTCCGGCGCAGTCTTGGTGATGTCGCGGATGAGGCGGGATGGGTTCGCTGTTGGCAGCACACACACACACACACACGCACACACACACACACACACACACACACACACACACACACACACACACACATGCAATTGTGAGGGTTGGTGCCAGTGTTACTGGTGTGCTGCAAGTGTGATGTGATGGCATGCTGACGTGTACAGTTGTTTCCACAGAGTGCGTGTGCACTGGTGGTCACATTATGTGCAATACAAACCTTGTTGCTCATCAGCTGTTTGGGCTGGACCGTAACATTGGCGACCAGCGACGCAGGAGAGACACGCGTGAGAAACAGATCAAAGGCGTTTCACACCACAACAGAACACACGCAGCAAACACGGCACAGCTGGCATGCAAGCACATCACAACCAACAACCATCACGATCAACAAGTACCCACGACCTGTTGCAAATACTCACCGACACCGGCTTGCTGCCGTGCAACAAATGTGCGCATGTGTTCGTCCACAGATCGAAAGATGCGTGCAGTCTGCTCCAGCACCTTCACCTGCACGGTGGCGGTGAAGGAGGAGGGGAGGGAGGGAGGGGGATTACCAATACGGTGATGTGGTTGTGAGAGGATAACAGCGATGCGGCTGTGAACCGTGGAAGCGAAACAACACATGTCCACCCATGGATGGAGCGTGGCGCTACCTGGGCCTCCAGTTCCTTGAGCGGTTCGCTGTCCTTCTCCCTGTTCTCTTTGGAACCCGCATCCTAACATGGCAAACAATGGTGGTGATATTGGTTGCAGTGGTGACGACGAGGACGACGACGAAGTGGAAGTCATGCATAACCAACGCAGCCCTCGGACGCGCCTGCGCACACATACATACATACACATACATACACACATACATACATACATACATACATACACATATACATACATACATACACATACATACATACATATATACATACATACATGCGCACATCAGCACTCAACCTACCTGTGTGTCCTGTGTTGCATCAGTGAGTGTGTTGAGGCGGTGTGCGATGGCGGTGGCAGCGGCAACTGTTGCAGCAGCGTCACTGGTAGCAGTGGACCACTTGTCCTCCTCGGACGACAGCCGCGTGCGAGAGTTCTGGCACACAGGGGCGGCGGGTCACACGTGGTGTATATGCGTGTGTGTGTGTGCGTGTGTATGCGTGTGTGTGTGTGAGAGAGATGAAGTGTTGAGTGAGTCTACACGATTGCATCCACAGATGCACACACACAACCACACACAAGCACAGGGGGTTGCGCACCTCGTAGAGCCTCAGGTTGCGTTTCATCTGTGAGTTCTTTGGGTTTGGCCTGTCAGCACCAGTACAATCGCACGGGCGTGTGAGACGGTCGTGCGCAGCTCACACACTGCCACGACACGAACACAGACACATGTTCAAGAACAATGCATGGACACGAGCACACACAGACACACAGACACACACACACATACGCAGACACACAACAGCAAAGGCGACCTGAGAACGGGCGCCTCGACAGCAGCCTTATCCTCGCCATCTTGCAGCAGCTCTGTCTTGAACGTTTCAGCCACCGCCTCCGCTGTGCATGTCAGCACAACAGGGACGCACGCACACGGGATACAGCACGTGAACAAGAAACGGCAACCGTGCCAGGTGCATGTGGGGCGACAAGACGTTGGTCCGAGACAAAAAGTCCAGGTGCACATTGTCTGCTCTCGGCTACACGACTCACCGTGTGTGTTGAAGCCCTTGAATGCGCTGGCATTGTTATTGGCCACGTTGGATATGGAGCGCTTTCAGCGGGAAAAGAGAGAGAGAGAGAGAGAGAGAGAGAGAGAGAGAGAGAGAGAGAGAGAGAGAGAGAGAGAGAGAGAGAGAGAGAGAGTGTGTGTGTATGTGTGTGTATGTGTGTATGGAGTGTGAGGTTAGCAGAGAGTTGCTTCCGGGGGTTACAACTGCATCTAGCAGCGGCCTGCAACAGCAACACCAAGGGAGGCACCAGCCCCTCTCACCTCCAAGCACATGGATACGAGACGCATGAACCGCTCCTCTGACGGAAGATCGTCGCTTATGTCGGTGTAAATGGCAGCTATCGCGGGTAGGGGTGGATAAGTTGGTGTCACAGAGCATTGCAAAGTGTGTGTGTGTGTGTGTGTGTGTGTGTGTGTGTGTGTGTGTGTGTGTGTGTGTGTGTGGGTGTGTGCGTGTGCGCATGTGTGTGCGCGTGTGTGTGAGGGATCGGGGTTGTGAGGTGCAGATCATGCAGATCACAACGCATCGTGGCATAGAGGGGAAAAGTCACAACTCTAAGCATGCACCATCCACACCGAGATGCACATACATGGACACGCGTGCACAGGCACAGGGGTTCACAACAACAGCACACGAGCCACGTACTTGGGTCGAGGGACTTTGCGACTTCCATGTGAACGAGGGAGCGGCGTTCACTGCGACCGGTTGACTTTCGTCGATGCTCAGCCTGTGGATGCACGACAGTGGGACACACAAACACGAGCAAGTGCCAACACACAATTGTCAGTGAGTAGCACGCCCACTGTGCGCGCGCATGTTAGAGGACAGACATGGCGTTTGGAGTGTGCTGCAGAGCACGTACATCGTGTGTCTTTGGTCGCTTCAACTTTGGCATGTCCTCCTCCAGTGAGGCCCTGGACAAGGACAACCACAGCCATGCATATAAGAATCGCGTGTGGCTGTTGTTGTTGTTGTTGTTGTTGCTGCTGCATTCAGCAAACGCCAACTACAACAACACGCAACAGACATCAACGGGTGCAAGATGCAAGCGCTTGCTGGTTGCATGAAGCTACACATGGTTTGAACACCGCGCCCAGGTTTAGCACGCCATCATCACCTTCATCACCATCACACACACAAACGCAAAGGCAAGTGCCATGCATGCAACAATGCGGCAAGGGCAGTGGTGATTGTTGTTGTAGTAGTGGTGGTTGAGCCAGCGCCGCTCGTGCGGCTGTGTGTACGTGTGTGATTGTTGCATTGTGTGCGTGCGTGCGGTGACCAATGGGCAAATGGGCCAATGGGCAAATGGGTGGTGGTGGTGGTGATGGTATAACGACTCACCCGCTGCCCATGCGACTGCTGCTACTGCTCGCTCCGTTGCCCATTGTTGCTTCAGGTGATGATGATGATGATGATGATGTTGTGTTGTGTGATGTGCGCTCACCCCCATCAACAATGCACAATGCAACCCGCAACGGTCAACAGGCAGCGACACCACAAAAAATCGACTGTCTCTCCCTCTGTTGGTTCGCCGTTGCCTGCCTGAGTTGCTGCTCTTGGTGTTCGACTAGCACTGGGTGTTACTTGATGCGACCAACTCCACGCGAGCGTGGCAAAGCGCACAGTTATTACAGCGACTGATCCAAGAAGCAGTCAGCAAACGAGTCTCGAAAGCTATGGTTACGAGCAGAGAAGGGGGGTAGTTATGCTGCAGCTACAACATCAAAACAAAGTGCGCTGGCGACATTTGATGCGCAAGGGATTCAACAAAGGAACAACAAACACCGAATACTATCGCATATGTGCAGGTTACTTGGGAGGGAGTTGCGTACTTGGGTGGGAGGAAAGGGAAGATAAATCAACAAAAGGGTGGTGATGGTGAAAAAAGGTGAGGAGCAAGAAGGCTGGCAAGACAAAATCAAGGGCAAAAGAGTGGGAAGGAAGACATGAGGTTTGGGCATTTCAACCAACATATCAAGAAGACGAAGAAGTTGTGTGGCCGACGACAGTGTTGGTGGTGCGTGTGGCGAGGGCGGTGGAGATGCGGCGCTGGTGGTGACGATGACGGTGGTGGCGGCGGCGGCCATGCTGTGCCTTTGATGACGATGCCGCACGCGTGGTGGCGCGTGCCTTGCTTCGTGTGGTCTTTGGCGCAGGGATGCTGGTGCGCGTTGCCCTGTGCTTGTGGTGGGTTCGGTTCTCCTGCTCGCTGTTGCTGTGGCGCTGGCAGAGAAAGGGCGTGTCGCTGTTGGCGGTCAAGCCGTCCGCGCCTCGGGCACTAAGGTCCCCATGCGGTGCCGCACACACGGCCGCAGGCAGCTGCAGCACGCGCGACTGGTGCTGGTGCTGGTGCTGGTGCTGCGCAGCGGATGGTGTTGTGATGGAGGCAGGGCTGCTGGACTGGTGGCTACCAGCCATGGGTTGTTGCTGCTGCTGTTGGTGTTGGTGTTGTTGCTGCTGGTGTTGCCTTTGTTGTTGAAGTTGATGAAGTTGCAGCAGCAGCTGCTGCTGCTGTTGTGGTTGCGCTGTCGCGGCTGCTGCTGCAACGGCTGCCAGGACGGCAGCTGTTGGGGCCGTTGGCAGCGTCGGTGATGGTGCGAGCGGCAAAGGCACCGGCACCTGCTGTTGTTGGTGCTGCTGGTGCTGGAAGTGCTGCTGGGGCTGGTGCTGGTGCTGGTGCTCGCGCAGGTCGCGGTAGCCGATGATGTAGTCGATGAGGACTTGCTCGTCGCTGTATGCCACCAGCTCGGGTCCGTCGGCGACATTGCCCAGGACCGAGTCGAACCCTGCGGGCGGGGAGTGGATGAGCGGCGGGAAGATGGTGCGGTCTGGGACGCGGAAGATGCGGCCAGGGAGCACGCGCACGGCGAGCATGAAGCGGATCTCGCCCGGCTGGGTCGTGCGCGCGCGCCAGTAGGTGTTGGCCTTGTTTGGCTCGAGCGCCGTGTAGATGCCGCGGCCAAAGCAGCCGATACGGGAGCACTCCTTGCGCAGGCCAAACGCATGCACGGTGTTGATGTTTGGTGCAGACGTGCAGTGAAAGGCGCGCAGCTCCAGGTCCGGGTGCAGCACCATGGGCTGGTTGTCATCGCTGTTGTCGTCGTTGTTGTCGGACTTGTCGTTGCAATTGCTGTTGTTGCTGGGGACGGCAGCACCGGTGCCACTAGTGCTGTCCGTGACGCTGCCGGAGGTGCTGCATGTCTGCTCCGTGCCTGCTGCAGGCCTATGTGCCCGCTGTTGTTCCAGCTGCTCGAGAAGTGCTTGCCTGCGCTGCTTGTAAGCCTTTCTCAAGTGCGTGTTCTGCACACGGGCCTGTTTTAGGGGGAGGGGGGAGACAGGGAAGGGGAGTATGGTGAGTGGCAGTAAAACAGAGAAAGAAGCGGGGGGTGGGGGTGGTGGTGAAGGCAAGGGTGTGGTACACATGCGTGCGTGTATGCATTGGAGTGTATGCATGTGCGTGTATGTATTGGTGTGTATGTGTGTGCGTGTATGTATTGGTGTGTATTGATGTGTATGTGTTGTGCATGTATGCAATCAAAACAAGCATGCCAATGAGAACTACAGAGAACTACATGTACACACACACACACACAGACACAGAAACACACACACAGACACAGACACAGAAACACACACACACACACACAGATACACACACACAGATACACAGACACACACGCGCGCAGGTGAACTCACCATGTTGATGACCTGCAGGTGTGGGGGGAAGAAGCGAGTGATGTGTTCTTGGACGGGGACGTCAATGACGTGACACCGCAGCTCGTTGTTGAGCATGACCTTGAGGCCTGAGATGGAGCAAGGCTCTGTTGGGTTGTGCTCGCACTTGCATCTGTGCCATGGATCGACCTCCCACAAAGGGGAAGAAGCTTCGTGGCAGTGTGCATGTGGTGCAGACGAGCAAGCCGGCGCATGCTCTGGTTGATGGTGATTATCGCAGTGCGGTTGCTGGACAGGCATGGTGGCTGCCGTCGTTGTTGCTGGTGGTGGGGCTGATGGGGCTGATAGGGCTGATGAGGGTGCTGGGATGTTGTTGCTTGACATCGACGTGTGTGGTTTGGGGGAAGAAGAAAATGACAGGTTGGGGAACGTTGCGTCCGCAAGCCAAGGTCACCAATAGTGGTGGCGGCGGCGGCGGTGGTGGTGGTGGTGCGGGAAGCTTGGTTACTTCGCTTACAGGCCGAGGACGAAAATGATGAAGCGACGATGAAGCGACTCAAACGCGATCTTGGTCACTTCTCAGCACACGAAGAAAGGGCAGAAGACGACGATGCAATGACGTAAAGGTGGTGGATGTGTGGGTATGAAGACCAAGTCGTTGGTGGGGTTCCAAGAAAAGGAGAGGGATGGCGGCCGAAGAACACAAAGATGACCCGAAGAAGAGCAGCAACAAAGCAATGGACTACCACCCAAATCAAAACTTCAAACGTTGGCAGGTGCTAGGTATGTGCGAGAAGCAGGTGGTGGTTGGTGGTGGTGGTGATAGTGATGTGAGTGCTGCTGGCAAATTAATGTGCATAGCACCTGAGCCAGGCCTGTGGATGGTGGTGGTGGTGGTGGCGTGTGCAGGGGTGGGGAGAGGGTTCGGTGACGGTGGTGGTGGGCATTGAGGAAGGGAATGAAGGCGTTTGAGTTGCGTCAAGGGAAAAGACAATGGTCGTTGCCGCAACGTGGGGCTCACAAGGCCATCACACGCACCCGCGTGTGCCATGACGCCATTGAGGGCGTTTCAACCTTGACATTATTCACTTGCAGCAGTTGCAGCAAGCAAGCAAGCATCAAAAAAGCCCACAAGAGCAAACGAAGAGACACAACAAGAGCAAACACAAGAGCGTGCCTTCAAAACACCAGGTTGGTTGCCCACGCTCACGTTTCACAGGGGCGACCACAAAAGCGCACACAGTCTTGCGTCAAACAAAAGATGCCAAATTGATGACTTCGGGGCACCGAAGTCGTCGGGGTGAAGTCAGCAGTGGAGCGTGCTTTCGCAGAAATGAGTCGTGCCAACAACAACGAGTTCCAAGAAATCACACCCAACCACTCTGTGACGTCATTTCTCAGAAAACGCCACCGCCTTGATTGTGTTTAGCGCACTTAAACGATTTTTGGCCAGATTGTTTATATTTTCAAACGATTTTCCAATTCCAAGACAAAATGAGCCACAACCAGCAAAAGCGCGCCAAACTTGCCGCCAAAGCAGAAGAAGAAGGAAGCACCCCGGACGCCAGCGACACCACCACCAGTGCCATCACGACGACAGCAGCAGTGAGCAGACGGACCATTATGGAGGGTACAAAGCTGCTTGTGAAGAAGCTCACTGAGCACGCCACCATCCCCACACGTGGATCCTCTGGCGCCGCAGGCTATGATCTCTACAGGTGTGCGTGTGTGTGTGTGTGTGTGGGTGTGGGTGTGGGTGTGGGTGTGCGTGTGGGTGTGCGTGTGCGTGTGGGTGTGCGTGTGCGTGTGGGTGTGCGTGTTGTTGTTGTTGATGATGATGATGGTGTTGGTTGGGAGTGATTGGCAGTGGTTCGTGCGTTGTGTGCTGTGAGCATGTGAAGGTGGGCGAAGAGCGAGAGTGAATTCTGCTTCTCCACTCCACGCAAGCACCTACATTGACATGCACTGACGCTTGCGTTCAATGGCTGATGCACACTTGCAAACACTGGCACACACACACTGGCATACACACAAACACTCACGCCTGTTGACTCCCACTCTCACATGCACGAATACACCCATACTCACTCCCATTCACTCACTCCCATTCACTCACTCCCATTCACTCACTCCCATTCACTCACTCCCATTCACTCACTCCCATGCACAAACACAACCCTTCATCATAGCGCGTACGATGTGAAGATCCCGGCAAAGGGCAAGGCGATTGTGAAGACTGACATTGCCGTCGCCATTCCGCAGACTTGCTATGGCCGAGTTGGTGCGTGTCACGCTTCTGCCTGCTGCGGAGTGTGTCACACAAGTCACAGGCTGCCTTTCTGTCATGTTGTCATCACGTATGCTTGCTTGCTTCGCGGTGAGGGTTGCCCTCCCTTTTAGCGTTTGTCCCATCTTTCATTCTTCGTCTCCACCGCTGCCATTTCTCTCCCCAATCACATGCAGCACCCTCTCGCACCTTCTCTAACATGCACACGCCCACCCACCCTCTCCCTCTGTGTCACTTGCACTGGCAGCTCCTCGGTCCGGGCTGACGGTCAAGCACTTTCTTGACGTGGGCGGTGAGCTGCTCGAAGCAAAGCGAACGTGCGCGCGCGCGCGCGTGTGTGTGTGTCTGTGAGAGGGAGGGGGAAAGCGGGGTTGTTGTGGGGAAGTGGGGTGAGAGCGCCTGATTTGTTGAGGAAGCCTTGTTGTGCCCGTGACGGGGTTTGGTGTTTTGAAACTCACTTGTGTCCCTTGTCGTGGCCTTGCACAGCTGGTGTGATTGACTCTGACTACCGTGGCAACGTTGGGGTCGTCATGTTCAACTTCAACGACACAGATTACAGCGGTGCGTACATGGGTGATTGCAGTGCGTGCGTGTGTGTTTGCAGTGCACTGCTTGTGTTGTTCACGATTCAACCCACCTCAACCACTTGCATGCATGCATCTGCGTATCTCTTGCACAGTATCCAAGGGCGATCGCGTCGCCCAGCTCATCCTGGAGCGCATCTACACCCCAGACGTCCAAGAAGTCGAGGTGTGTGTGTGTGTGTGTGTGTGTGTGTGTGTGTGATGTGTGTGTGTGTGTGCGTGTGTGTGTGTGCGTGTGTGCGTGCGTGCGTGCGTGTGTGTGTGTGTGTGTGTGTGTGTGTGTGTGTGTGTGTGTGTGTGTGTGTGTGTGTGTGTGTGTGTGTGTGTGTGTGTGTGTGTGTGTGTGTGTGTACACGTCCGTGCTTTGGCGTCCGTGTACGTTTCTTTGTCTCTCATGACACCAAAACTGCGCAACCTTACTCACCACCACCAGGATCTTGAGGACACGGCTCGCGGCGAGGGCGGGTTTGGTTCGACCGGCAAGCAGTGAGGAACGTGGCCCGTGGCCAGCTGCCATGCCATCTGTCCCCGCCCGCAACAATGTGTTCCTTGTTTCTCTGCCCTCATCATGCTTGGGTGTTACATTCTGCGACCACTTTCACACAGCCACTCGCTTAATCGAACCCCCTTCTCCCCCTCTCCTCAATGGTGATGTTGGACTGTGTTTGGTGCGCAGTTGTTGGCGTTGCGACGTTTGTGGTGGGGGGTTTTCGTTTCATTTCGAATACAACAACGACATTGAGACACACACGCGCGCGCACATGTCAGCGCAAGTAGTCATCAAAGAGTGGGCACCGGACAACAGCACACGCACACACACACACACTCACATGCACACACACACTCACATGCACACACACACACACATGCACACTCACATGCACATGCACACACACACACACACAGAGGTAAATGCCATGCGCACACGAGCAAGCATGCATGCACGCACACACAGACATGTGCATGTCGTACAGCAAGCTTCAACACTCACGCCACCCAGAGTGGTGTGCTGGTTAACGACAACGACAACAGCAGCGACACTGCTATGACGAGGGCAGCAAGGCGCGACACAGGCAGGCTTCCGACACCATCTTGAGCCAAGCCAACAACAAAAGACAAGAAGAACCACAACAAAAACGAGGAAAAGCACAACATGAACAAGAACAAGAACGACCGCTACCACCAATATCACCACTGCCACCGCCGTGGGCGTGCGTTGCCATCAGTGTGCGTCACGCTCGCCGGGCTTGCCTGCCACGCGCTTGAACTCGGCCATGTTGGTGGTGTCGCGCGGCGTGCCAATCAGCTCAATGTAGTTGATTGCCGTCGTGTCCTCGCCACCGTGGTTGTCCACCACAAACAGCTGCAGCAGTTGATTGATTTTGATTGGTTGGTTGGTTGTGGTTGTTGTTATTGGTTGTTCATGAGTGTCGGAGCGAGGGGTTGAAGGGGCATTGGGCATTGATGGTTTGAGGGGCCGGGGAAGGAAAAACACACACGAAAAAACGCGTATGCCAAAAGCGCGGATACATGCGCAGGCACGCGGGCCGAGACAAAACATGGCCTCACCGTGACGCTGTTGACGTTCTGCAGCTTCACAAATCGCAGCTCAATCGGCTCGCCCTGATGACAGCACACGTAATCGAGTGGTGTGCGGATATGGTGAGGGACACCAGCACGCCTCAGAACAAACACACGCATACACAACGAAACGAGCACATCAGAACTAACACACACACACAAAAAAAAAAAAGATCTCTGCACCTGGATTTGGCTCTCTGTGAGCGTGAGGGTCTGCACGGGCTCAATCTTCTCCGCATCGTCAAAATCCTGACGTCCACACGCGGGTGAGTGAATATGAGTGAATATGAGTGCGTGTGGGTGATGCGTGTGAGTATGGTGATGCAAGTGTTGTTGGATGCAGAGAGATGCGAATGGGAAAACACAGGGAAGGTATTGGAAGGAGGCGACAGAACAAACACGGCAAGTGCGCACAAAATACACACTGACAGCAAAGTAGACAACAAACACTGCAGCCCACGCCACGCTACGCCACGTAAGCACGTACGAGGCTGGTGGTTCTGTTCTGGAAGAGCTTGATGGTGAGCGGGGCGCGGCCATCGGTCGGGGCAACGACGCGCATCGAGTGCAGCTTCACAGGAAGCGTGAAGTTGAGCGCAATCATCAGCTGTGGTTGTTGTTGGTGGCGTTGTTGTTGTTGTTGTTGTTGTTGTTGTTGTTGTTGTTGTTGTTGTTGTTGTTGTTGTTGTGACCTGGGGTGAGCGAGGCGGAGGAAGAACAACGGGCATGTTGAGTGATGGAACACCCACAGGCGACAAATGCAGTCGCGTCACACAAACAATGCCACAATCACACCAAACAAACACTCAAATACAGTCACTATACTGCACACAATGTCACATACACACACGTGTGAGTGAGTGAGTGTGTGTGTGTGTGTGGACCTGTTCGTCGCAGTCGCTCTCTAGGAACGTGTCCTCGTCATCTGTGAGCGCGTGCTCCAGCGGGTGGTCGTCGTTCTGGTTCAGGCACTCCATCTGCGCCTTGTTCACAAACTTGTTCAGCACCCACTATCGTATGTGTGACAATATGTGTGTGTGTGTGTGCGATTCAGTGTTGGCGTGTGTTTGGAAGGTGTTGGGAAGTTAAATTCGTTGTCAGGCAAGTGCGACGCGGCCTCATCGTTGCATCACCACACAACACGCCCCCCCCCCACACACACAATTTCTGTGACTGTGCGTGCTCACCTGGCCCCGCACAACGCTGTCGGATTCGGCACCGCCGGATTCTGAGAGCAGCCGCTTCAACGTCTGCTCAAGGCGCTCGGGGTCTGCGCCAGAGAACGACTCCACCACTTGCGTGCCTTGCACAAACTTGAACGTGGGCATGGACGACACATTGTACACGCGCTTCACCTCCTGTGTTTTTGTTGTGCCGAGAAGGTGACAGTATGAGGGTGGCGTGGGTGGTCGACAAATTGTGGCGGAAACAGACGCAAACGTGGCGTCAGTGACCAAATGCAAACACACCCAACCACATGAACAACAACATCTCGAGCAAAACACGATGGAGATGCAGACTGAAGGCAAACAGACAACGCCATCATCGCGTCATACACACACACACACACCTTGAGTTTGTCGACGTCCACCTTGAAGAAGGCTGCATCTGGGTATTTGTCTGAGAGGGAGCTGAAGAATGGCGCAATCTGCCGGCAAGGGCCGCACCTGACGTTAGTGTGTGTGTGCAATTAGAAACAAACGAGAACAAGAAGAGGGGGAGGAAGAGGGGGAGGGGAGGAAAAGGGGAGGGGAGAAAGAGGGGGCAAAATGGTGGCGGTGGTGAGATGATGGCAGTGCTGTTTCAAGCAATACCGAACACACACAGGAAGAAGCACTAGCAACTTCCAGTGAAAGTACACAAGGCAGGCAAGCAAGATGGCAAACTCCACACACACACACACATACACATGCACATACATACATACATACATACATACACACAAACATTTCGTGGACAACGAAACAAAGCCATGAATGAAGACGATGCACATGTTTCCGTCCGTCGTCGAAGCACCACTTTTTGCACATACACGCATACACATACACACCATCACTCACCACTCGGCGAAGAAGTCAATGACAATGACCTTCTGCGTTGATGCCTTCACGGCATCAAAGAACTCTGCATCTGTAGAGAACGTGGTCACGGGCATGGTGGTGTTGCTTGCTTCGGTTGTTCTGTTGGTTGGACGAGCGAAACGGTTCCGTTTATGCAGTTTATGATGTTTGAGATCATATGACTGAATTCAGTCGCAGTTCTTCACGAAGGACTCATTGCTGTTCCTCAGCGCGCAACACATCATCCACTCACATTATCATCGCGCATCACACACACACACACACACACACACACACACACACACACACACACACACACACACACACACACACACACACCTCTCTCTCGCCGCTCTCCCCCTGAGATCGTCGTCTCATCATCGCTCAGTCAGCACCACCAACATTCGACGCTACCTTATCCTCCTCCTGCTCTCACTCACTCTTCCACTCTTCATCACACACGTAGAGAGACAGAGCACTCGGAGCATCGCCATGCCGTCGCTGTATCGTCAGGTTGTGTGGTACATGCGAGGCCGCTCGCAGTACACCAAGTCTGGGTTCTTGAACGCTGCCAAACACTTCCAGCCTGGCGACTTGGACGTGGACGCATCAAAGTCAGTCCCGGCCCAGAAGCGTGAGCCATTGTTGTTGATTTGGTCACGCCGTCCATGTGCCTCCTTCCACGTACATGCGCACACGCAGTGTACGCACGCAGTGTACGCACACAATGTACGCACACAACGCACTCACTCGTCATACACACGCACACGCGCACCTTCACACATGGACGCGTGTACTTGTACACTCACCCACTCTTCCTGCACACACGCACACACACACACACACACACACACACACACACACACACACACACACACACACACACACACACACACACACACATTCGTACATTCGTACACAGCACGCACTTTATGATCACTGGCGCGAACAGCGGGCTGGGCAAAGAATGCGCCCTCGAATTTGCCAAGCGCGGGGCAACCGTGCACATGGTCTGCCGCAATGAAGAGCGCGCACACCAAGCAAAGCAGGAGATTGAGCAGGAAGCATCAAGCTCGGTACGCAAGCGGTTCGGCGAGCTGATGATACCACCACCACCGCCGCCCACGCCACTCGTGTGCTTCCTCGTCTGTGCATGTTTTCGTGCTGTGCCGCCTCGCTCGCTCTCATGGCTCCACGCCCTTTGTGCTGTACAATGCAGAGTTTGCACGTGCATATTGTGGACATGGCAAACACACGGGCGGTGTCGGAGTTTGCGCACAACTTTGTGGCGTCTGGACACAAGCTGGATGTGCTCATCAACAACGCAGGCTGCATGATCCACAAGCGCATTCAAACCGCAGACGGCTTTGAAACCAACTTTGCCGTCAACACCCTCGGTACATGTGACTGTGTGCTGCTGGCTGTGGGGCTGCGTGTCGGGCTGTGTGTGCGTGTGCGTGTGTGTGTGTAGCTGCAGCGATGAGCAGATGCATTGCTTCTGCGTGTGCGTTTGCTTGCGACTGTACGCTGCAATGCCTCCTCACCTCACCCTGAATTTCTCGTGCATTCTGAACACTGGATGCGGTCTCCTGCGGCTGCTTTGTTGGCTGTCAGCGCCATACCTGCTGACGACGCTTCTTCTGCCCCTCCTCAAGCAATCAAGTGACCCTCGCGTGGTTCGTGTGCGAACATGTGTGTGTGTGTGATTGTATTGAGAGCGAATTGTGCATGGAGTGTAGCGTTTGGAATCTTGGCTGGCCATTAATCCTCGCGAGCCGCCCGCATAATACTCACTGCCAGCCACACAAACACACACACACACATATGCACAACTGTCTGTGCTGGTGTCGCAGATCAACGTGTCATCTGGCGGGATGCTGCTGCACAAATTGAATGCGCGCGACCCTCAGCTTGAGGACGCTGCGTTTGATGGCGTGGACGCGTACTCCCAGCAGAAGGTGCTGCTGTTGCACTGCTGTTGTGTTGTGTTTCGGTGTGTATGTGCGTGTGTGTTGTAGTGTGTGTTTTTTGTTGTTGTGTACGCGTATTGTGTTGTGTTGTGTGTGTGTGTGCGTGCGCATTGTCAGGCGCCACCATGTTCCATTCCTTTCCATCCCCAATCCTCGCCCCACCACCACCACCACCACTGCCCACAGCGCCAGCAGGTTGTGTTGTCGCACGTGTGGGCAGAGCAGAACCCGTGGCTGCGCTCCTACAGCATGCATCCTGGATGGGCAGACACCCCCGCTGTTCGCGACGCCCTTCCAGACTTTTACCAGCGCATGAAAGGTTGTGTTGTGTTGTGTTGTGTTGTGTTGTGTTGTGTTGTGTTGTGTTGTGTTGTTTGTTTGTTTGTTTGTTTGGTTGTTTGTTTGTTTGTTTGTTTGTTTGGTTGGTTGTTTGTTTGTTTGTTTGTTTGTTTGTTTGTTTGGTTGGTTGTTTGTTTGCTTGTTTGTTTGTTTGTTTGTTTGTGTGTATGTGTGTGTGTGTGTGGTTGTGCTACGTTGTGTTTCGTGTTAATGCAATCCTGTGTGAAGATCGCTTTCTTCTCCCGACTGCTTGTCCCCCCCCCCATTCCTGCGTCCGTGCGCCTTATGTTGAAGCACAACCCTTTGCCATCCAGTGCTCACACCACCACCTCCACTCCCACCACCACCACTGCCTGTCATACGTGCGTGCACCAGACAACCTCCGGGACGTGCACGAGGGCGCAGACACCATCATCTGGCTCGCCCTAGCCCCCAATATCCCCGACCAGCACAACGGCAAATTCTTCCAAGGTGAAGCATCCCCGCAATTGCCCGTGTGTATGGTGTGTGTGCTGCGTTTTTATTTGGCCCCCGTCGTCGTGTGTGTGTGTGTGTGTGTGTGTGTGTGTGTGTGTGTGTGTGTGTGTGTGTGTGTGTGTGTGTGTGTGTGTGTGTGTGTGTGTGTGTGTGTGTGTGCGTCCGTGCTTGCACGTGTCTTTGTTTGCGTACATAAATACACATGTTGTCTGCCCCACAACGCTGCAAACGTTAGCCCTTGCTCACACCACATCGTTGTCCGCATCTTGATTTCCTTCAGACCGCAAGCCTGTGAGCGAGCACCTTCCACTCGCCTTTACATCAAGCTCCACCGCCGATGTCGAGGTGCCACTGGCTGTTCACACATCGATGTGATCATTTGCACTCAGTATGCAAACATATGACTTTGCACCCTCTCTTGTCGCTCACACACGCTTACATGTGCTTGTGCTCTTTGTTGTGCATCGTTCAGGCGTTTGTCGATGGGCTTGGAAAGATGGCAGAACCATACTTGGCGCCACCGCAATAACTGGTCTCTGACACACACACACACACAGGACACTCTGTCGTCACAAGCTTTTCATGTACACGTGTTTAAGTGTTTATTCCTCTCTGGTTTTGTTTTGGTTTCCGCTGGTTTGTGGTCCTAATATGCGGCGTGGAATTCACAGTAGACAGCGAAATTGCAAGCAAGAGAGCAAAAGTCTTCAATTCAGCACCCACACACACACACACACCACAACGTCAGCACCAGCGCTAGCCGCCACCAATCACCGCCACAGCAAGAACCACAACAATCACCGCCCTGCTCATTATCAGCTGCTTCCTGTGGGTCTCCTCGTAGGTCCCCTATCCTTCACCTGACCACCACCACCACCACCGCTGCTGCTGCTGCTGTTACCAACACTCCTGCGCAGCGCCGCTGCTTTGGCCTCGCGCTGCAGGCCCGGCACCACCACGTCCGCGATGGTCGCAATCTCCGCAGCAGAGGGGTGGCCGTGGGCCTGTGGGACGAGAAGCGAGGGGTAGCGTTGGAAGTCAAGTGGGGTGGAGTGGAGGTCAATGGGCAGATACAAAGGCATGCACAGAAGCAAAGCAAAGTTGCGCACAGAAGCGAGACACACACGGATATATACACACACACACATGCACACAGACAGACAGACAGACAGACAGACAGACAGACACATGTCGTACCCGCCATCGAATGCGCCCGCGTGGATCGAGGATGAAGCAGAAGCACGTGTAAGGCGAAAAAAGCTGTATAAAGGAAGCGAATGGCAAGGTGAGGGCATGATGCGCACCGTGCTCAGAGACGAGACACATGTTCAGGCGCGCACACAGCACACACACACACGCACACACAGAGTCATCCGCTACCGAAAGCTCGTCTTTGATGCTGTCAACGTTGTCCTTCACAATGCATACATGGTCCTGTTCGCACAGCAAAGTTGCATGGACACATATGTGAGTAACGAGCAATGCATACACACGAACGCGCTCACACACACACACACACACACACACACACACACACACACACACACACACACAGAGGCATACACAGACATAGGCGTACGTGGTTCTCTGGCGGGTACTGCTTGGCCATTGCCGCGGATACGGAGGAGGAGAACAGTGACTGAAGGCGGCCCTCCAGCGGAAGAAGCTGCATTGTACCCGTGTTGAGCAAGTGCAGCAGGCAGACAGAGAGGGTGGTGCACCGCGCACAGTGTGAGCCACGCGGTGGTGTTGAGATCAGGGGAGCAAGTGGTAATTGTTGCGGGTAGAGTGTGCGTAATGGGCTGATGGGTGACGCACCGTGAACGTGTCCAGGTCTGCATGTGACGCCTGGGCAGCCTCCTGCAGCGCCGTCTCATAAGCATTCACCATGGGCTGCGTGTTGGCATCGCACCACATTGCTTGTGAGGGCAGTGATTGGGGCAACTGAACCTTCGCACACACATGCACTCCTGCACGCGTGTTACCAAGGCGCACGCACAGACACAGACACAGACACAGACAGACACACACACACACACAGACAGACAGACAGACACACCTTGCTGATCTCACGGAAGAAGATGAGGACTGCTGTGATGGCAGCTGGGTTTGCAGGAGGCAGAGCGACGGGCGACCCTGCAACACTTGTTCCCTTGACATGTGGGAACAACGGTGCCTCGGCCGCCTGTATCAGGCACAAGGAGTGAGACGAAGATAGAGCAACGGGCACACGGAGACAGAAAGCGAGAAAGGAGAGAGACAGAGTGACGGAGAGTTATAGAGACAGAGACATAGAGACAGAGAGATAGAGAGACAGAGACAGAGACACCCCCCCAAAACACACGCTTGTACACATACCATGGCGAGCGTTGTTGGGGCCTCGTGCCGTTTGCCGCGGTTCTGCTTGAACTCCTGCAGAGGGCTGATGGTCTTGAACTGGCTGATGATCGCCTGTCGCTTCTCCATGTTCTGGTGGGGCGGGGGGAAGAGATGGTTCGGGGTACGATGCGTGCAGAAGGGGTTGGACAATCAGCGACAAGGGAGGCACAGACAGGCGGGCAGTGAGACACACACACACACACACACACACAAACAGAGGTACAGACAGACAGACACACAGACACAGACACACACAGACACACAGACACAGACAGACACAGACACACAGACACACAGACACACACACACACAGACAGACACACAGACAGACACACACAGACACTCAGACACGCACACACACAGACACACAGACACACAGACACACAGACACAGACAGACACAGACAGACACACACACACAGACACAGACACAGACACAGACACAGACACAGACACAGACACAGACACGCACACACACACACACACACACACACACACACACACACACACACACACACCTTGCGCTTTCGCTCTTGCAGGGCCTCCTCGCCACCGAAGAAGCGATGCCACCAGCTCATGGTGCGCACAGTGGCCGTGGTCCGCACCATCATCGCGTGCGACACCCTGTGCACAGCCAGTGCCTGCTTTCCCCAAATCATCCTCCCCTTGTGTGCGTTTGCTGTGTGTGGTTATGGGATGGTCCTTCCTGCCTTTCTTGGCCTTCTCTCACTCGTCAACTATGATGATGGCGACGGCGGCTGCTGTGGTGCTGTTCGTGTGTACGTGGTGTAATGTAACAGTGCGTCCTAAGAGGCATGCAGGGCGGTCGTACAGGCGAAAGGGGGAAAAGGGGGATCGTTGGTGTCTGAGTACCACATACGGAGCGAGCCCATGGAGCACGGAGTACACACCCACAGAGAAGCAAAGAAGCAACACAGCGTGCGGGTTGTTGCGGCATGCGCACAGCGACAAGGACCTTGAACACAGGGGGCGCAGAAGCACAGATAGAGCTAGAGATATACGTGGGCGTGGGGGGAGGAAGGAAAGAAGCAAGACAGAAGCACAAGGCACACACCACGAGCATGTGCAGACACAGACAGACAGACAGACAGACAGACAGACAGACAGACAGACAGACACACACACACACACACACACACCGCACACACACACACACACACACACACACACACACAGATACAGACACAGACAGACACGCCCTCAGATGGATCTGTAGTGCTGGCCAGATGATGAGTCGCCGGCGCTGAGGAGCGCTTGCTTGAGGCCGAGGTTGAAGTTGCGGTGCACCTTGACGGCTAGTGCAACAACAACGGCACGCAACAGGATGGCGACACAGCCCAGGAAGATGACCGGGTTGGTGGTATCCTTGTGCTTGTAGTGGTCCCAGTTGTTGGCAAACTCGACAAACTTGTACACGATGAAGGTGGGCTCCAGCGTGGAGAGGGCATAGAAGACGACCATGAACACGGTGTTCTCGCGGCGAGCGCCCGCGGTGCCGACCACAATCCACGCCAGCGAGATGACCAGCCCGGAGATGGCCAGGCCAAGCTGGGGCTCCGTGAGCGTGTGCGAGAACGCGGCCAGCACCACCAGGGTGATGGCCACCATAAAGTCCAGGTCCAAGAAGGAGCGGAAGCGCGACAGCCAGTGGAACGCTTGCATGCGCTCCTCGTCGCAGCCGGCGATGTGCCACGCCAGCCAATCCATGTCCGTGAGGATGAAGTACGAGCCCACAAAGTCGATGGGGAGGCACACGCCCGAGATGATGAGGCGCGCCAGCAGCTCGTCTTTGCTCTCCCCAACATCCTCGTCGTCCCTGCCGCGCAGATACCTGTACAGGGCGTAGGCGAAGACGAGGACCGCGGCCACCAGGAAGAAGATGATGCGCCACTTCTGCTCGAAGAAGATGCCGTTGGCCACAAAGTACCACATGGCCACGGAGGTGAGCAGCAAGGAGATGGCGTACGCCAACGTGGCATTGCCGCTCGCCTTATCGTGCTGGTCAATCACCGCCGCCGTGATGCCGATGATGGCAAGGATCTGCAGTGACACAAACGTGAAGAACAGCCATCGCTTTCGGTCCGGCCAGGACACCACAAGGCTCATCGCGACCAGGCAGGCAGCCAAGCTGAGGTTGCAAGGTTGAGGTGTTGTGGTGTGGTGGTGTTTCGCGTTGGTGGTTGGTGCTTCTTGCTGGATTGATGAATCATCATGGCACATCACTTCTCCCACGTGCTGTTTGCTCCATGCACGCTTTCATTCATTTCATTCATTGATACATGCGTTCATCAGCATCGGACAGTCGGTGTGCACGCACGCACGCACGCAGCATGGCATGGCATGGTAGTGGTGGAGGTGCAGGAAGAAGACATATGCGGCAAGCAACACAGCGAAGAAAGAAGAGAGGGTAAGGGCAACACAGCAACAGCACAAGCACAAGCACAGGTGGCATGACAGGATTGAATCATTTTGTCTTCTTGGAGGTGCCAGGTCCCTGAAATGTGTGTTGGGAGCACACAAGATGCACACATGGCGTTGGTTGGAGATGGAGGTGGGGGGGGGCGAAGGATTCAAACAGGGCTTGATGGGCAGCACAATCGTTCCACGCCCAAATGAGGGGAGAAACACACAGGCACAGACAGACACGAACGTAGACAGATGGGAGCCGACAAGACAGATGGGGAACACACAGCCACAGACACAGACAGACAGACAGACAGCCAGCCACACACATACACACACAGACACAGACAGACAGACAGACAGACACACACACATACACGCACACACACACACACACACCTTGCGTGCGGTGTGGTCCATGATGAGGCCGAAGATTTTGCCAATGGGAACGAGCAGCGGGATAACAAGCAGCTCCAACATGGAGTTCTCCCGCGGCGCAACGCCCACGGTCCCCTAATGACAACCCCACACCCACACACCCACACGCATACACACACGCATACACACGCGCACATGAGACAAGGGCAGATAGCTGCACGTTCCGACACACTCGCATACACACGCACACGCAGGTGCAGGTGGAAGCATCGGACTTACGATGCGGGCGAGCTCGGTCATGAGCTCGTTGGTGATGGAGTAGCTGCCGTTGGCCAGGCCTGAGGTGATATATGTGTGTGTGTGTGTGTGTGTGTGTGTGTGTATGTGTGTGTGTGTGTGTGTGTGTGCAGGGCAGACGAGCAGACAGCATGGGGACGGGAAACCCGTGGCGGCTCATGGCTGACCTGTCATGAGGTGTTCAGCTGCAACATCTGCGGTGATTAGGCTTGCCTGGCCCTCAATCTCCTACATGCAGGTGCATGTGGAAGGAAGTGTGACACAGCGAACAATACCCGGCATCGCCAGCAACAAACACAAACAGACAAACAGCACCAGACAGACAAACAGACAGAGGCAGACAGACGCGCGCACACAAACACAAACAGACAAACAGCACCAGACAGACAAACAGACAGACACACACACACACAGAGGCAGACACACACACATACACACACAGACAGACAAATCAACATCCGCGCTGGCAAGGCTGACCTGTGTCTCAACGGGCTTTGTGCGCGTTTCCTCCTCGAAACCAGGCGTGTCCATGTTGGAGGGATAGTACCCAACAACGCGAATGTTGTATGGCTGTGGCCACACTCGACAAGGTAGATGGGAGGGGGAGAAGGCACGCAATTGGGTGGGTGTGAGAATGCAGCAAGAAAGACGGGCAGAAAGGTTGACAACAGAACGCATACAGGCGAACAACTGCCTGACACAGACACACACACACACACAGACACAGACACCGACACAGACACAGACACACCGACACAGACACCGACACCGACAAACACACAGACACAGACACGACACAGGCAGACACGCAGACCAGGAGTTCGTTGCGGAGGCAGTCGGTGAGGCCACGAAGGGCGTACTTGGAAGGAGCGTACTGGGAGTAGCCAACCATGCCTGCAAACACGACAGCCGAGCTGACAAACACCACCGTACCGCCACCGCTCTTCTTCATGCTCGGCACTGCTGCCTACGTGGATCAGGGAGGCAAGGAGAAGGGGGGGGGGGAGGAGACAAGGCACACAGTATAGCACTCGTGTTATGTGAGGAAAGCACAGTGCTCGCCAAAAGCGAGGCGAAAAGAGGGGCGAAATGAGAGGCGATGAGAGGTGAAAAGAGAGAGGTACACCACACCCACCCACCCACACAGATACACAGACACACACACACAGACACACACACACACACAGACACACACACACAGACACGCACACATACAGACACATACACACCGCACCTTTGCTGCGTGAAGGCAGCCAAAGTAGTTGAGGTCCATCTGCTGGCGGTAAACGCTGGTGGGTGTCTCCAGGAAGTAGCCCGGCTTGGCGAGGCCAGCAGAGCAGATGAGGTACTTGACGGGGCTTGGCGGTGTGATGCGGCGGTGCAGCGTGCATACATCCGTGCAACCATGAGAGGAACAAAACGCAATGAGAAACAAACGAGCACGCACAAGGGCACAGACATGAGCGCAGGAAAGGGAGGTCGGCAGTCGTCAAACCAACGTACCCAAACTGCTCGTCCGCTTGTTGCACGGCCTCGTTCATTTGCTTCTCGTTTGTCACATCACAGGGAAACCCTTGTGCCTGCGATGTGAGTGAGAGTATGTGAGTGAGTATGTGAATGAGTTTGTGAGTGAGTGAGTGAGAGTATGTGAGTGAGTATGTGCGTGAGTGAGTGAGTGAGTGAGTGAGTGAGTGAGTGAGTGAGTGAGTGAGTGAATGGTGACAGCAGACACGTGTGCGCGTGTGAGGAACAGTCAGGGAACGATAATCAACACAGGCGAAAACTGATGGCGCAGTGACACTGTAGCACCTTGGCGGATGGCACGGCGTCACGGATCGCCTTCAGTCCCGTATCCACGTTCTTCTGTGATCTGGACACGATTGTCACGCGTGCACCACGCTTCAAGGTGCGCCAGCATGTCGTGGCATGTGTGTGTGTGTGTGTGTCAGCGGGTGAGCAACTGGCCTGAACACTGAATCTGGTTGGCATTTTGTTGAATGTCATTGGTATTGGTTGTTGTCTCTCTGGTTCGCTTTTCCAAGCATGTGCCACGCGTGAGATAGGAGTTGAACATGTGCAAGACAAGGCTCTTCAATGGGAGATTTGGGGGAACACAATAACCTGGTTGCTCGGTATACCTTGGCAAACTTGATGGCGATGCCCAACCCCAGGCCCGTGGTTCCTCCCGTGATGAACACGTGCTTGTCTTTTGCGTCGATCCCTGGCGCCGTGATCTTGTTCCACAGCCAATTCACCTGAACAGGCGGCGGCGAGTGAGTGAGTGAGTGAGTGAGTGAGTGAGTGAGTGAGTGAGTGAGTGAGTGAGTGAGTGAGTGAGTGAGTGAGTGAGTGAGTGAGTGAGTGAGTGAGTGAGTGAGTGAGTGAGTGAGTGAGTGAGTGAGTGAGTGAGTGAGTGAGTGAGTGAGTGAGTGAGTGAGTGAGTGAGTGAGTGAGTGAGTGAGTGAGTGAGTGAGTGAGTGAATGAAAGGGTGGAATGAATCTTGTTGTCCAGCAGACACACACACACACACACATATGCACGCTCACCACGACAAGGACAGCAGCGCCCACTGCAGCCAGTGTCCAGCAGCAGCCACCGCAGCCAAACATCTTGCACGCTGTGGTTTATCCCGGTTTGCCCACTGTGGTAAAAAAAAAGTAAATTGAAATGCACGGAATGATGCATTTGGATAAAAAAATGTGGCATGCACCACCCCACAGCAGGAAACCAGGCAAACACACACACAACCAAACAAAACCTCGCCCGCCTGCTGCGTCTGCTCTGCTTTGCTTGCAGGCATCATCCCAACACCAATCAAACAACACAACACACACAACAGCGGCAAACAACACAACAACAAGCAAGAAGCAAGCAACAAGGAGGCAGCGCTGCGTCTCTGCTCAACCAACACACACACACACACACCACAACACGACCTTGGCTTTGTTGTTGTGTTCCTTGGTGCAGTACCCGGCACTTCAGCAAGCTGCAAAAGTGCAAAGGCACTTGTTTGGCCTGCTTTGGTTGCTTTGGGTGCTCGCAAGCTGTCCAAGTGCGCGACAAGGCCCTTTCTGATCAGAGCAACACACACACACAGGCCTCAACAACACTCGCACAGGCAGTTGTTTGTGTTGCTGGCGTATCCTCTCTTTGCATCCAGCATCTTTTCACCACCGCTTCCAACCTTGCAGCCTTTCAGACAACCCTCTCTTTTATATTCTTGGCACTCCTTTCCCATCTGATTGCCGTCTTCGCTCTTTTCCCGGCTGCGGCGAAGAGTGCTCCTGGCACCCTCTTCTCGCCCCTTCTTGACCCCTGTGTGTGCACGACCACGTGTAAACCAGCCACTGCAGCGACCTTCTTGTTTGTTGCAGCTCACAGCACACCATGGCGTGGCAAGCTCTTCGCTGCCGCTGCCAATCCCAGCGACTCCGTCGCACCAACTCCAACTCCAACAACAACAACAACAACTGCGGCATGCATGGCGCCACCACATCAGCAGTAGCCGCAGCCACGCGACAGCTTCGATCGCTGGCTGCTGTGCTTCTGCTGGTTCTTCTGACTTGCTGGGCTCCATTGTCCAGCGCCCAATGCGTGCCCCCAAGCGTTACCACCATCTCTCCACAGGTGCGTGCATGCGCGTGCGTGTGTGTGTATGTGTGTACGTGTGCGTGTGTGTGCGCGCGTTTGTTTGTGTGTGTGTGTATGTGTGTGTGTGTATGTGTGTGTGTGTATGTGTGTGTGTGTGTGTGTGTGTGTGTGTGTGTGTGTGTGTGCTTGCTCGTCGAGAATCGCATGTCAACACACTCTTCCTGTGGAAACCCACCATGCCCATGCTGCCTTGCGGCATTGACCAGCTCTGTCGCCTCGTCAAACACGCCACACACACGCCACACACGCCACACACACAGACACAGACACAGACACACTCACTCTCTCACACTCTCACACTCTCACACTCTCACTCTCTCACTCTCTCACACACACTCTCACACTCTCACACTCACACACACTCACATGCCCCACTCGCCACAACACACAAACCAACTTGAATAACACAGGACGGTGTGCTTGGTACTTATGTTACCATTACTGGCTGTGGATTGGGCAGCACAACGCTTGTGTCGCTCGCCCCTTCTGACCCCATGGCCTCCACTTACGACGCAAACGATGGTGCGCATATGTGTGTGTGTGTGTGGTTGTTGGTTGTGCGCATACATGAGCGCGCGCGTGTGTGTGTGCACGCATCAATGATGAACGCACTAGGACTGCCCCCGCTTTGTGAGCGTGTGTCTGCGGCCGCTGTTTCAAGCGCAACCGACACTCCAACACAACCGACACACCAACGCACTGAAAGCCGCATTTCCTTCCTCTGTCAGCTCACCCCTCTTCCTTTATTCCCCCTCCTCTCACTTCACGCTCTCCCCCTCTCATTTCCGTTTGTAGGTGGCGTGCACGCGGTAGTAAGCGCCGCAGCCACTGAGGTTGTGGTGCGCTCGTCTGGTGAAGACGTGCCGACATGCGGTGATGTGGTCCTCTTCTCAGACGCATCCACCGTCATCACGCGCTTCTCAAACGACACCCACAAGAGCAACCTCAACCCCTTTGAGGTGGGCGCCTACTGCTACAACCCAGACAACCTGGAGATTTCAACGGTGTCCCCCACCATGGGCCAGGAAGGCACGGCCATCACCATCACGGGCCGCTTCCCTCCCCGCCATGGTGTTGCGTCAGCGCTGACAACAGCGCTCGTCGCGGGCAACAACGCCACCGTCGAGTCGTCGGGGTCCTTCTCCGCCATCATTCGCCTCGGCGCCGGTATGGAAGGGGACACCGGGCCCGTGCGGGTCATGGCAGAGACGGGCGCCTTCGCCGTGTCAACTGTCAACGTCACGTATGTTGCCCCGGGCAACATCACAAACGTGACACCCACAGCCGGCCAGCACGGCACCCGCATCACCATCACGGGCACGGGCTTCTTTGGCCTCACAGGCACCGCCGTCACCGCCGTCCTCGTCGACAGCGTTCCCGCCATCGAAATCGTCATGCAGAACGACACGTACGTGGTGGCCCGCCTCGGCGCCGGCTCCGCAAACGCTGCGGCCGTCGTGCGCGTCGAGTCCGACGACGGGTCGTACACCCTGTACGGCGACACCTTTGAGAAGCTGGCGGACGGAACGGTTGCAGCCATCACCCCGGCAGCGGCCCAGCCCACCCGGACCATCTCCATCACGGGCACCAACCTCATGGGCGACGGCACCACGTTCGTGTCCCACTTCCTCGGCACACACAACGTCACTGCCAACGTCGTGGGCACGCCAACGAACAGCCTCGTCGTCATCCAGGTCCCGGACGGCGTTGGCTTTGCCCAATACACGGCAACCTCGGAGACGGGCAGCATCGTGCAGTCTGGCGCACAGGGGTTTGCCTTTGCCAACATCACCAGCATCACACCAAGCCAGGGGCAGGCGGGCACGCGCATCACCCTGGCTGGGTTTGGCATGACCTCCGGCGCAATGTCTGCCAGCTCCGTCCTCCTCGGTACGGCCGCCGCCACCGTCGTCTCCAGTTCGGCAACCCAGATTGTCGCCACCGTGGGCTCCGCGTCGGCCGGCACCGTATTCCCCACCGTTGTCGGCACCAACGGCTACAACGTCTCCTCCACCGCCGTCAACTTCACCTACCTGCCGCCGCAGCAAATCAACGCCGTCACCCCCTACTTTGGCCAGCACGGCACCCGCGTCAACATCTCGGGCGTCAACCTCCTTGGCGGCGGCAGCACCGTCGTCCAGGTCATGCTTGATGGCATCAACGCAACCATCGAGTCGCAGTCAGACACGGAGATTATCGTGCGCGCCGGCGTCAACGATCCCGGCGAGGGCGACGTCGTCGTGATCACCGACACGGGCGCGCGGGTCACCCGCACCGACGGCTTCCTCTACATCTTCCCGGGCAGCATCACCACCATCAGCCCGTCCAGTGGCCAGGTCGGCACGCACGTCACGCTCTCGGGTACCTCCCTCATCGGCGGCGGCACGCAGCTGGCGTCTGCCACCGTTGCCGGCGTCGCAGCATCCATCCTCTCGGCCACGGACATCCAAGTCGTCGTGCAGCTTGCAGAGGGTGCCGCGACCATGGGCACCGTGCGCCTGACCGCCGACACGGGCGCCATCGTCTCCTCTGCGGGCATGTTCACGTACATTGAGCCTGGCAACATCACCGCCGTCTCCCCTGCACAGGGCGTGCTTGGCACGACGGTCACCATCACGGGCACCAACCTGCTCGGCGGCGCGATGACCCTCTCCAGCGTCACCATCGGCAACGTCTCTGCCACTGTCACCTCAGCCACAAACACGCAGGTGGTGGTGCAGGCTGGGCACAAGGCCGCTTCCATGGCACCCGAGGACATTGTTATCACCGCCAGCACGGGCGCGCGCATCAACGGCACCGCGCTCTTCACCTACCAGGAGCCCGGCGTCATCGCCCAGGTGCAGCCAAGCAGCGGCGCATTCGGTACGCGCATCACCATAACGGGCACAAACCTGCGCACCAACGGCACGGCCGTCACCAACGTCACCCTCAACGGCGTGCAGGCCACAGTCGTGTCCGAGAACAGCACGCGCGTCGTTATCACCGCAGGCTCTTTTGCCGGCGCGGGCGCGGGCGATGTCAAGGTATTCAGCAACCTCGGCACCTACGCCCTCCTCTCCAACGGCTTCACCTACGTCGGGCCGCCCCTCATCACAGACGTCAGCCCCGCAGTGGGCATCACCGGCAGCGAGGTCACCGTCACGGGCTCCTCGCTCCTCGCCGGCGGCACGCGCATCGTGCGCGCCACCCTGGCCAACGTCAACGCCTCGCAGATTCTGATTGGCAACCGCAACTTCATCGTCGTCCTGGTTGCTGGGCAGAACCCAAACCCGTCCGCCAACACCACGGGCGACGTTGTGCTGTACACGGACACGGGCGCCGTTGTCACGCTGGCCGGCGCCTTCCGCTACCAGCCGGACGGCAACATCACCCGCGTCACACCGGCCATGGGCCAGGTCGGCACGCGCGTCACCATCCAGGGCACAGAGCTGCTGGGCAACCCGCCCTCGCAGCTGCAGTACGTGCTGCTCGGTGACATTCGCGCCACCATCGTGTCTGCCACCGACGCCGAGGTCATCGTGACGGCGGGCTCCTCTGTCGAGGCCGGCCCTGTCACCGTGCTCTTGCACACGGAGAGCGGCGCTGACATCACCCTCCCCTTTGGCTTCACGTACGTTGAGGAGGGTGCCATCTTCAGCATCACCCCGTCCAGCGGCCAGGTCGGCACCGTCGTCACTATTCAGGGCAACAACCTCCTCTCCGGCGGCGCGGCCATCAGCACCGCGCTCTTCGGCTCCACGGCCGCCACGGTCCTCAACGCCACAAGCACGCGCGTCACCGTGCGCGTGCAGAACGCCACCGCCTCCATGGCGCAGAACGTGCGTCTCACTGCAGACACGGGCGGCTTTGTCCTGCGCGAGCGCATCTGGACCTACCTGCAGCCGGGCGTGGTCACGGCCGTCAACCCGCCCTATGGCCAGTTTGGCACCCGCGTCACCATCACCGGCGAGCGCCTGCTCTCTGGCGGCTCCTCCGTGCAGGCCGTGCGCTTTGGCAGCGTCAGCCACCACGCCATCGAGTCAGAGTCGCCCACGCAGATTGTCGTGCGTGTCGGCGACAACGAAGGCAACCTCACCGCCGGCAGCGACATCACCATTGTCGCAAACACGCAGGCCTCCCTCACCGCCCAGGATGTGTGGCAGTGGACCGCGCCCGGGAACATCTCCACCGTTCAGCCAAACACGGGACAGTACGGCACACGCATCACCGTCACGGGCACAAACCTCTTTGGCAACGGCACCGCCCTGCAAGAGCTGCGCGTGGGCACCCTCAACGCCACCGTCACCAACGCGACGTCCACCCGCGTCGTGGCATCCATCAACAACAACATGGCCACCACGGGCCCCGTCAACGTCATTCTCGAGTCAAACACGGGGGCGCTCGTTGTCCTTGGCCTCGGCTTCACCTACACCGCCGTGGGCGAGATCCTGAGCGTCTCCCCAGACAGCGGTGCGGCCGGCACCCTCGTCACCATCTCCGGCCAGCGCCTGCTTGGCGGCGCCGCGGACGTTGCCTCTGTCACCCTCGCCGACGTCTCCGCCACCGTGCTCTCTGCCAACGCCACCCAGGTCGTGGTCGAGGCAACGACAGCAGCGGCAGCCGGCGCCGGGGACGTGGTCATCACGGGCACGACTGGCGCCCTCGTCTCAAAGACGACGGGCTTCACCTACGTGGAGGCACCCAACATCACTGACGTTACGCCCGCAGAGGGAACCTTTGCCACGCGCGTCACAGTCACGGGCACAAACCTCCTCGCCGGCGGCACCGCCTTTGTCACCGGCACCGTGGGCGGCATTCCCGCCATGCTCACCACCGCAGACAGCAACACGCAGATTGTGCTGGTCACCCCGAACGTCACCGCCCTCGGGGCTGCCCAGGTTGCCTTCACCACAGACACGGGTGCCGTGGTGCAGGCATCGAACCTGTTTACCTACCGTGCACGCGGCAGCGTCGCCAGCGTCACTCCCGTCTTTGGACAGGTCGGTACGCTGGTCACCATCACAGGCCCCAACCTGCGGTCGTACGGCGCCGCTGTCGATGCCGTCGCCTTCAATGGCACCGCCGCCACCATTTCCTCGCAGAACAACACCCACGTCATCGTGGCCGTGGGCGAGTCGTCCGTGGAGGGCCTCGTCAACGTGCGGCTCACGGCAGACACGGGCGCATACATTGACGCACTCAACGCGTTCACCTACGTCATGCAGGGGAACATCTCCCTTGTGTCGCCAAACTCTGGCCAGGTGCAGACGCGCGTCACCATCACGGGCACCCATCTCCTCGGCAACGGCACCAGCCTCGCCTCGGTCACGCTGGCCGGCGTGGCAGTCGATTCCATTGAGGTGCAAACCTCTTCCATGGTCGTCGTGCGTGCGGGCGCACGTACAACCGCCATCACTGGCGACGTGGTCCTCACCGCAGACACCGGCGCCACCGTGACGCTTGAGAACGGGTTCTCCTACATCACCCCGGGCGCCATCACGGGCATCAGCCCCGCGCAGGGTCAGCTCGGCACCCGCATCACCATCACAGGCACGGGCCTCTTTGGCGGCGGCTCTGCCGTGCAGAACGTCACGTTTGGCGGCGTGGACGCGCTCGCCATCCTGTCTGCGACAAACGCTTCTGTCGTTGCTCGTGCCCCTGTCATGAACGCCGGTGCCGTGGCCATCGCCATCATCTCGGACACGGGCGCAACCACCACCTCAACTGCCGGCGCGTTCACGTTCGACGCACCTTCCGCCATCTCCAGCATCAGCCCAAGCTCCGGCACCGCGGGCACCCTGGTCACCGTGACGGGCACAAGCTTGTTTGGGGTGAGCAATGGCGCCAGCATCGTCGCGGGCCTTTTCGGAACCGCAAACGCCACCGTGCAGTCGTTCACATCCACACAGGTGGTACTGGTGGCGCCACAATCCGCCGCGTCCAACGTCACCATCACCATTGATGCCGACAGCGGCGCGCGCACGGTGAGCACGGACATGTTTCGGTTCCTCGCCCCCGGCAACATCACCGACTTTGCTCCAAAGATGGGCGTGACCGGAACCCACGTCACCATCGTCGGCTCCAACTTGCTGGGCGGCGCATCAACCGCCCAGTCGGTGACCGTGGCCGGCGTTGCAGCCTCTGTGGTCAGCGCCACGGCGTCCAGCATTGTCGCTGCTCTTGGCGAGGGTACAACCCAGGCTGGCCCCATTGTCGTCACGGGCGGCGAAGGCTCCCTGCTGCAGAGCGCAGCGCAGTTCCAGTACATCAACCAATCGGTGATTCTCAGCGTCAGCCCTTCCTCTGGGCAGTCCGGAACCGCTGTGCAAATCGTCGGCGAGGCCCTGCGTGCTGGCGGCGTCAATGTCTCCTCGGTCACGCTCGCTGGCATCGCTGCAACCATCGTGTCCGAAAACGACACTGTGGTCTCGGTCACCGCGGGCGTGAACCCGTCTGGCAACGCAACCACGGGCGACGTTGTCGTGTCAGCGTCAAACGGTGGCCGCACCGTCCTGGCAAACGCCTTCTCGTACCAGCAGAGTGGAAGCATCGTGTCTGTGGTTCCTTCCTCTGGCCAAGGAGGTACATATGTCACCATCACAGGCACTGACCTCCTGGCTGGCGGTACCAACCTCACCTCCGTGCAACTGGGCACCGTGCAGGCGACCATTGTCAGTGCTTCGTCAACAACGGTCGTTGTTCGCGCTGGCGACGGCCCAGCGGTGCAAACAGCGGTGGACGTCATGCTCACCTCAAACACCAACTCCTTCACCTCAAAGACCAACGGGTTCACGTACCTCAAGCCCGGTGAGGTGTTTGCCGTCGACCCCCAGCGCGGGCAGGGCGGCATTCAGGTGCGCATTGGTGGTGTTGACCTGTGCGGCGCTGGCTCTGTGAACCTCACATCCGTCACCCTGGCAAACATCAGCGCCACCATCGACTCGGAGGAGGGCTGTTTCCTCGTCACCGTCACGGCTGGCACCACAGACTTCAACACGTCCGTGGTTGGCGACCTGGTGCTCGTCGGCAACACGGGCTCCACGGTTCGCCTGCAGAACGCGTTCACATATGTCCCGTCCGGGCTCATCTCGTCGGTCAGCCCGGGGGTTGGCCAGGGCGGGCAGGCCGTGACGGTTCGTGGCCGTTCACTTCTTGGCGGCGGCAACAGCCTCACAGCTGCGTCCCTTGCGGGCGTCCCGGCCACGGTCATCAGTGCAAACTCAACATACGTGTCGCTGGTGGCCAACAGCGGTCCTATCTCCTCCACGCGCAGGGTGGGCGATGTCAGCCTGACTTCAGACATTGGCGTGACTGTCACGGCCACAAACGGCTGGTCATATGCCGTCATCTCCTCCATCCAGCCAACCAGCGGCCAGGGAGGCACATTCGTCACCATCGCTGGGCAGGACCTTCTTGCTGATGGAGCTGGCATCACCGCCGTCACCCTTGCCGGCGTGCGCGCGTCATCCATCGTCTCGGCCAACGACACGCAAGTCGTTGTCCGCGCAGCCGCGCAGGCAGTGACTGTTAACCAGGCCGGCGTGGTGGAGCTGACAACAGACAATGGGCAGAGCGTCCTCTCAAGGTCAGGCCTCGACAACAGCGACGTGCAGCGGTTCACGTACCGGCCACCAGGAGCGATTACCAGCGTGAGCCCGGCGCAGGGGCAGGCAAACACCACGGTGACCATCACCGGCACTCGCCTGCTCGGGTACGGCACAAGCGTGCAGTCTGTCACGTTTGGAAACACAACAAGCGGCACCGTCATCTCTGGAACAGACACGAAGGTTGTTGTGGTCGCACCAGAGTCCGCGGATGTCGGCGCAGTAAACATCACCATCACATCAAACACGGGTGCGATCGTTGAAACCGATGCCGCATTCACCTACGTTGCACAGGCAAGCATCAGCGGAGCAACGCCTGGTGTTGGGCAGGGTGGCACGCGGGTGACGGTGACGGGTGTGTCGCTGCTTGGCGGCGCGACGACGCTGCGGGACGTGACGCTTGCTGGCGTGTCTGTGCGCGAGATTGTGTCGTTCAACGACACGCAGGTAGTGGTGGTTGCGGCAGCGCACGGGAGCGCGGTGTCTGGGGATGTTGTGGTGCAGTCTGCCAACGGGGCGTTTGTGAGCCTGGTTGGCGGGTTCAACTACAGCGAGCCTGGTGCTGTTGCGAGTGTGAGCCCCGACAGCGGACACGCGGGGACGCGCGTTGTGATTGAGGGCACACGGCTGCTCGGGAGCGGGTCGAGCCTTGTGTCTGTGACGCTGGGCGGCGTGAGCGTGGCTTCGATTGTGAGCGGGAACAACACGCGCGTTGTTGTGGTTGCGGCTGCTGGGAGCGCCGGTGCTGGGGACGTTGTTCTGACGGCCAACACTGGTGCGGAGGTGATTGCGACTGGCGGGTTCACGTATGTGGCCGCGGGCGCGATTGACCAGGTGCAGCCTGCGTCTGGCCAGTTTGGGACGCGCGTGACGATCAACGGGACGAACCTGCTTGGAGGCGGGTCGTCTGCTGCGACTGTGCGGCTTGGCGGCGTTGCGGCGATGGTTGTGTCTGGGACGTCGACGGAGGTGGTTGTTGTTGCTCGGAGCGGGAGCGCCGGTGTTGGCGACGTTGAGATTGTGGCTGACACGGGGGCTGTTGTGAGCAAGAGCAACGCGTGGGAGCAGCTTGAGGATGGCGTGATTACGAGCGTTGTTCCGGCGCAGGCGCAGAAGGATGCGCGCGTGACGATCCAAGGTGCGCGGCTGCTGGGCGGCGGCCAGGACATTGCGCGGGCTGTGCTTGCTGGCGTTGATGCGACGTACGAGAGCGGGAGCGGCAGCGACACGGAGGTAGTTGTTGTGGCTGCGCTTGGCACGGCTGGTGCGAACGGCAGCGTGCTGCTTGTTGCTGACACTGGCGCCGAGGTGTCGCTTTCGCTCGGGTTTGAGTATGTTGCGCGCGGGAGCATCAGCAGCGTGGAGCCGAGCACGGGCTCTGCGGGGACGCTTGTGACGATCAGCGGCAGCAACCTGCTGAGCGGCGGCGCGAGCATTGAGGGCGTGACGCTCGCTGGTGTTGCAGCTGCACAGGTTGTGAGCGGCAACGACACGGTGATTGTTGTTGAGGCAGGACAGCAGTCGAGTGCGGTGAGCGGGATGGTTGTGACGACCTCTGACACTGGCTCGACGAGCGTGCTGTCGAGTGGGACGGCGTTTACGTACATTGCGCCCCCGAGCATCGACACTGTGTCGCCTGCGAGCGGGCAGGAAGGGACGCGCGTGACGCTGAGCGGGCAGAACCTGCTGTGCGGCGGGTCGAGCGTGCGCACTGTGACGCTTGCGGGCGTTGCTGTTGGCACGGTTGTGAGCGAGAGCGACACGTCTGTTGTTGTTGACGCTGCGCCCGGTGCTGCTGGCAATGGCAGTGTGCGGATTGAGGCTGACACGGGGGCGTTTGTTGAGCTTGCTGATGGCTGGACGTACATTGAGGCTGGCAGCGTGAGCAGCGTTGAGCCTGCGACTGGGCAGCGTGGGTCTGTTGTTGTGATCCGCGGGACGAACCTGCTTGGCGGCGGCAGCGACGTGTCGAGCGTGACGCTTGCCGGCGTTGAGGTGACGTCGATTGACAGCGCCAACGCGACGGTTGTCGTTGTTGTTGCTGGCGGCCGGAGCACGGCTGGCGCTGGGGACGTTGTGCTGATGTCTGACACGCGGGCGACGGTGACTGCGAGCGGGGCGTTTACGTACCTGGAGCCTGGCAACATCACGAGCGTGAGCCCGAGCGTGGGCCAGGACGGCACGCGGGTTGTGATTGAGGGCGAGCGGCTGCTTGGCGACGGGGACAATGTGATGAGCGTGACGCTGGCTGGGGTTGCGGCGACGGTGACTGGCGCGTCGCAGAGCCAGATCAACGTGACGGCGCATGCGTCGACGGCCAAGACGGGCGACGTCGTTGTTGTTGGCAACACGGGCATCATTGTGAGCAGCACCAACGCGTGGACGTTTGGCACGCCTGGTTACGTTGAGGGTGTTGATCCTGGGCGTGGTGTTGCTGGCACGGAAGTGCTGATCTATGGCAACAATCTTCTTGGTTATGGTTCATCTGTGGCGAGCGTGACGCTCGATGGTATTGCTGCGAACATCACGTACCAAAGTGACGTGCTGATCAAGGTCATCGCAAATGACGGCGTTGCTGGTGCGGCCGGGGACATCGTCGTCACCGCCAACACGGGTGCTTTTGGGACTGCGGGGAACGCGTGGACATACGTCAGTGCACCCAACATTACATCAGTATCTCCTTCATCGGGCACCCTCGGAACCCTTATCACCATCCAGGGCACGTCCTTGCTCGCTGGCGCTGACAGCATCGACTTTGTGACGCTTGCTGGTGTGACAGCGACCATCACCTTCCAAAACGACACCCTCGTGGTCGTTCGGGCCGGAAGTGGCAGTGCCCGCACCGGCGATGTTGTGATTTCCACTGACAACGGTGCAACCATTCGCAATCGGAACGCTTTTACATTTGTTCAACTCGGCGAGATCCACAGCATTGAACCAACGAGCGGTATCGGTGGCACACTTGTCACGATCACTGGAAGCCAGTTGTTGCTCGGCGCACAAGGTCTTTCATCTGTCACGCTGTTCATGACCGCGGCGAGCGTGATCAGTGCAAGCAATAGCATGGTGGTTGTTCGTGCAGGCACTCCAACTCTGCCAGTAGTGGTTCAGAGCGCGGCGTCTGCCAACCCGACGACAGGCGACGTAATTGTCACCGCAACCAACGGTGCAACGATTCGGCGTACAAGCGGCTTCACGTACATCATGTCACCGAACATCACTGACATCACACCGCCGAGCGGCCAGGTTGGGACGCGGGTGACGATTGTTGGCAGCGGTCTGCTTGCGGGCGGCAGCAGCGTGTCGAACGTGACGCTGGCCGGGGTAGCTGCGGAGAGCGTTGTGAGCGCCAACGACACGAGCGTCGTTGTAGTTGCAGGGAGCGGCAGTCCCGGGAACGGCAGCGTGACGGTGACGGCGGACACGGGTGCGTCGTACAGCAGCGACAGCGTGTGGACGTATGTTGAGGCGAGCACGATTGACAGCTTTGCACCTGTGACTGGCCAGGAGGGCACGTATGTGACGATCCGTGGGCAGCGGCTGTTTGGCGGCGGCAGCACGGTTTCGCGCGTTGTGCTTGCTGGCGTGGATGCTGCGGTGCAGGCTGGCGGCAACAGCACGTATGTAGTGGCGCGTGCAGCAGCGAGCGTTGCTGGCGCAGGCCGTGTTGTGGTTGAGAGCGACACTGGAGCGCGGGCTGTTGCGACGGGCGACTTTACGTATGCGGACGCGGGCGTTGTGACGACGCTGATGCCAGCGAGCGGGCAGCGCGGGACGCGTGTGACGATTGTTGGCGAGCGGCTGCTTGGCGGCGCGATGTCGCCGGCTGTTGTGCGGCTTGGCGGCCGCGCTGTGATGAGCGTTGTGAGCGCCAACTCGACCATGGTTGTGGTGCGGGCGTCGAACGGCACGGTTGGCACGGGCGACGTTGAGATTGAGTCTGTGAGCGGGGCCATTGTGCGCGGCGTTGGGCTGTGGGAGCAGCTTGCCGAGGGCCAGGTGACGGGCGTGTCGCCGTCGAGCGGTGCTGCTGGTACGCTGGTTACGCTGTTTGGCAGCTCCCTGACACTGGGCTCCAACACCGTGACGCTGCTGAGCGGTGGTGTATCCACGTCGGTTGTCTCTCGCAACGCCACCCATGTTGTGTTTGAGCTTCCTGCGTCTCTTCCCACCGGCTCCGTTACGTTTGCCTTGCGCGCAGACACGCTTGCAGAGGCGTCTCTCGTCGATCAGTTTACGGTGCTTGCATCTGGATCTGTCACGTCTGTGGTTCCGTCACCCTCTATCCAGGGGGCACGGGTCACCATTCACGGCACTGGTCTGCTCGGTGGCGGTACGGCTGTAACAACAGCGTTGTTTGCATCCGAGGCAGCGACAATCCTCTCGTCCAGCGAGACGACTGTTGTTGTGATTCTGCCTGGCCTCGATGCGCCAGGACCAGTGAACATCACACTTGTCTCCGACACTGGTGCGACCGTGTTCGTGACAAACTCGTTCTCGTACGCGTACTCCCCGTCCATTGACACGCTTGCGCCCACCAGTGGGCAGGAAGGCACCCGGGTTACGCTGCAAGGTTCGCTCTTGCTCGCTGGCGGCAGCAACATCACCCGCGTGTTGCTGGATGGCCGCGACGGCACTGTACTGACGTCAAACGACTCGATGGTGACGTTTGCTGTCCCAGCCAACGCACAGGGCCCTGCTGTGGTCCAGCTCATTGCAGACACGGAGGCCACCTACAACCTGACTTCGAGGTTCACGTACCTGCGTCGGCCGCGCATCAGTGCCCTTGCGCCATCGTCTGGCCAGTACGGCACGCGCGTGACGGTGAGTGGCGTGGAATTGCTTGGTGGCGGCTCGGGCGTTGCCTCGCTGACCGTGGCTGGTCAAGAGGCGCACTCGATTGAGAGCGCTTCCAACGAAACGATTGTGTTCCGTGCCCCACAGGGCACGCAGGGCACGCAAGGCACGGTGGTGGTGACGGCCGACACGGGCGCAGTTGCGCGCGGCACACCAACGTTCTCGTATGTTGAGGCCGGCAGCATCAGCACCGTGTCGCCATCGACTGGACAGGCAGGCACCCTCGTGACTGTGACGGGCTCCAACCTGTTTGGTCTGCTGAATGGCACAGCTGTGGTGAACGCCACGCTTGCTGACATACCTGTGGCGGCGGTGGTGTCGTCCTCAGCCACGCAGGTGGTGCTCAAGGCTGCGTTGTCTGCGGTGGGCATGACGGGCTCTGTGTCGCTCGTGGCCGACAGTGGCGCGATTGTGGCCCGCTCTGCGGCTTGGACGTACATTGCACCCGGTGCCATCACCTCTGTTGACCCCGGCGTGGGTCAGGTGGGCACCTATGTCACGCTTCGCGGCACCAACCTGCTTGGCGGCGGTGCCTCGGCGACGCAGGTGAGGTTTGGCGGCGATGCGGGCACCGTTGTGAGCGGCAACTCCACCGTGGTTGTTGCCCGCGGCGCCAATGGCACTGCAGGCACCGTGGGTGTTGCGATTGTGGCCGATACGGGGGCAACGGTGTCGCTGCCCGGTGCATGGCTGCGGCTGGCATCTGGCAGTGTGTCGAGCGTCGCGCCTGCCTTTGGACAGGGCGGCACGCGAGTGACCATCACCGGCGTCGGGCTTCGTGGAAACGGCACCCGCGTGACCAAGGTGACGCTGCGCGGGCTTGAAGCCACCGTGATGAGCGAGAGCGACGATCAAGTGGTGGTCGCTGCTGCTGCCAGCCCAAGCGCTGGTGTTGGCGACGTGGTGCTTGAGTCTGACACGGGTGCGCAGGTGACCTCGACGTCTGCTTGGGAGTATGTTGAGCCTGCACGTGTGGACAGCGTGTCGCCAGCCTCTGGCCAGCGCGGCACTCGTGTCACGGTGCTTGGCGCCGGCTTGCTTGCCGGCGGTGCAAACGTGACCCGCGCAAGCCTGGGCGGCACAAACGCCACCCTCCTCTCAGCCAACGACACCCGGGTTGTGCTGGCCGCGGGTGATGCTGATCCACAGGTCCTGGTTGGCCTGCGCCTGGAAATGGGCTCTGGCGCTGTGGTGACACACGCGAATGCCTTCACGTACCTGACGCGCGGCAACATTGATTCCGTGACGCCTGCGAGCGCCAGTGCGGGTGCGCTGGTGACCATTACGGGCTCCTTGTGCGGCGGTGGCAGCTCGATTGTGGACGTGCTGTTTGACACGTTCAACTCGACCATCGAGGCGTCCAGCTGCAGCCAGGCGCGCGTGCGCGTTCCCGACACCGGCCTCAACACGTCGGTGTCTGTGAGCGTGGTGTCTGACACGGGCAGCATTGTCGAGCTGGTTGGCGGGTTCACCTACCTTGCGGATGGCGCCATCTTGTCGATCTCTCCACCCGCGGGCCAGTCTGGAACCGTGGTTGAGATTCGCGGCGTGAACATGCTTGGCGGGTCAGCCGGCATCTCGTCCCTCAAGCTGGCCGGCTCCAACGTGCTGGTGGATGTGGTGAGCGACACGTTCATCAACGCGACCGTGCTCACGGGCTCTGGGCAGGGCGACGTGACGCTGGTGTCGCAGGCGGGCGTGACGCTTCGCCTGCGCAATGGGTGGACGTTCAGCCGCGTGCAGCAGCTGGAGCCGAACAGCGGCATGCGTGGCACGGTTGTCACAATCCGCGGCCTCGCACTGCTTGCCGGTGGGTCCCGCGTTGCGTCGGCGCGCCTGGGCGGCCAACCCGTTGCCAGCATCGTGTCCAACTCCTCCAGCGAGGTTGTTGTGGAGGCGGCTGCGAACCTGGTGACGGCGGACACACGCGGCGACGTGGTTCTGACGATGGACAACGGGCAGACGGTGTCGCGCTCCAACGTGTGGACATACAAGCCGCCGGGCTCGATTGACCTCGTTGAGCCTGGCAGCGGCCAGAGCGGCACGGTTGTCACGATTAGCGGCACCGAGCTGCTTGGGTACGGCACCAACTACACGTCTGTGTCCCTCTCTGGCGTTCCCGTGCAGTCGATCCTGTCTGCAAACAACACGCGCGTGGTGGTGGTTGCAGCGGCAAGCGCCACGCAGCAGGCCGGCGACGTCGTGCTTGTCTCTGACACGGGCTCGCGGGTTGTCCTTGCTGACGGCAACGCGGGCACGTTCCTGCAGGACGGGCTCTGGCAGTATGTGGCACCCGCAGAGCTGACGAGCGTGTCGCCGGCCGAGGGCCAGGTCAGCACCCTCGTCACCGTCACCGGCACGGGCCTGCGCGGTGGCGGCAACGCCATCGACCAGGTGCTGCTGTCTGGTGTGGAGGCGGACGTGGTGAGCGAGTCCGACACACAGCTGGTCGTGCGGGCGCAAGCGGGCATGCCGACCGCCGTGGCCGGCAGCATTGAGATTCTGGCGGACACGGGCGCGCGCGCCGTGTTTGAGCAGGCGTGGCGCTACGTGCCTGCAGGCAACGTGTCGTCCGTGTCGCCGTCAACTGGACAGCAAGGAACGCTGGTGACCATTTCCGGCACGCGCCTGCGCGGCAACTCCACGGCTGTCGAGCGTGTGCTGCTGGCTGGCGTGGAGGCGACGGTGCTGTCTGAGAGCGACGCCCTGGTGGTGGTGTCAGCGGAGGCCTCTGCCGGCACCAGCGCTGGCGACGTGGTGCTGATTGGCAGCACGGGCGCCACGGTCACGGCCAGCACGGCGTTCAGGTACCTGACGCCGGCAAACGTGACGCTGGTGAGCCCGTCCATGGGTCAGCTCGGAACGCTGGTAACCATCACGGGCACGGCGTTGCTGGGCGGCGGCTCCAACATCTCGCGCGTGCTGTTCAACTCCACGTCCTCACTGCGGGTGCTGTCCGCAAGCGACACGGTTGTTGTGGCGGAGTCGCCGCGTTCTGGTGTTGCTGGCACGGTTGACCTGACGCTGATTGCGGACACGGGCGCCTTCACAGCAGTGACGGGCGGCTGGACGTTCCTTGAGCCCGGTGTTGTGGACAGCGTGGATCCCCCGCAGGGCCAGGTCGGCACATCTGTGACGATCCGCGGACGCAACCTGCTGCAGGGCGCAATGAACGTGACGGCGGTGCGCTTTGGCGATGTGCTGACCCGCATCATGAGCTTCAACTCCACGCAGATTATTGTCGGTGTTGAGGACGGCGGCGTGCCCGGAACGACAGGCACCATCCGCGTGACGACGGAGACTGGCGCATATGTGGAGCTTGTGGATGGCTGGACGTTTGCGTTGTTGGCGACCATTGATGGTGTGTCGCCGAGCAGCGGCCACTTTGGCACGCTGGTCAACATCTCCGGCATCAACCTGCAGGCTGGCGGGCGCTACATTGCAACAGCCTTCCTTGCCGGTGTGGAGGTTGACTCTGTGGTGATTGCAGACGAGCCTGACCATGTGGTGGTGGTGGCGGGCGCCAGCACGGGTGCCATCACCAACGGCGATGTGGTGCTGGTGAGCGACAACGGTGCGCGCACCACCCTGGCCAACGCGTTCTCGTACGTTGCTCCGGGCAACATCACGAGCGTGTCGCCTGGGTTTGGCCAGTACGGCACGGTTGTGCACATTGAGGGCAGCAATCTGCTTGGTGGTGGCTCCACTCTCTCGCGCGCCTCACTGCGGTTCGTGGATGCGGTATCAATTGTGTCTGCGTCCAACACCGAGGTGGTGCTTGTGGCGGCTGCAAGCCAGGCCGGCCCAGGCCCTGTGCACCTTTACGCTGACACAGGGGCCGTTGTCTCCGCGGAGTGCGTGTGAGACTCTTGAATCGATGTGTGTGTGTGTGTGTGTGTGTGTGTGTGTATGTGTGTGTGTGTGTGTGTGTGTGTGTGTGTGTGTGTGTGTGTGTGTGTGTGTGTGTGTGTGTGTGTGTGCATTGGGAGTGGGAGGAGTGGAGGAGGATGAGTTGAATTGAGAGGGAGAGCCCTTTGAGTTGAGTGGAACCGTGAGTGTAATGCGACCAACAAACTTCGTCTATCCTTTGGTGTCTTTCAGACGGCTGGTGGATGATGTCTGTACGTGGGGTTTTTCATGTGCCACATCCAAACCAACCATGTGTTTTGTCCTGTCTCGTGAGTATGATGACGTCAGTTGATTTTTTTTGGTTGTTTTGTGCGCCCTTGTCTTCCCCCCATGTGTTTCTGGTGTTGTTCATTTTGGCAATTGCGTGTTGGGCAGCTGCTGCCTCTTGTGCACAAGCACACGGTTGCTTCTCCTCCAGGCGGGGCAAGCCACGACCGTGTTCGGTGGTGGCTTCCTTGCGTGTGGTCGGAGGGGCAACACGGATGGCAAGTGCATGGGCGGTCGTGAGCAACCAACACACATTTTTCTGACAAACCAAACCACAACAACTCCCTCCACGTGTTTTCTGTTTGTTTTCTGTCTTCTTCATTTTCATTGTTGTGACTTGTGAACCATGAATGAAACGACGCAATCACAATCACAATGCAAAGACATATCGATCCCCTTGCTTGATCTCCTGCTTTCTTGCTTGCTTGAATGAAGAACAAAGGGGGCGAGTGTGTGAGCGGGAGGGGAGAAAGCATGCGGTTGTCTGTCTGTCACCTACGCGAGAGCTACACCAGCGGCCTGCATGTATCGCAAAAGTGCATGCGGGTGTGTGTGTGTGTGTGTGTGTGTGTGTGTGTGTGTGTGTGTGTGTGTGTGTTTCTGTGGGCTGCGCGGCTGGGTGGGAAACACACCATTGACCGTGCGATCACAGGAAGAGCTCCCAGGTGTCGCACACACACACACACACACACACACACACACACACACACACACACACACACACACACACGCACGCACGCACCTGGAAGTACGAGGAGAGCGGCTGCTGTACGTTTGCCGGGATGGCCGCCTTCAGGTTCTGGTGCTGCGAGAAGCAGCTGCCAAGATGCTGCGCAACAAACGTGCGCACATCAGACACCTCCTTGAAGTAGTCCTCATCTGGCTGCCCGGCATATGCGAGCCGGTTGAACGTTGCCGTGCGATATCCAGACGCGTCTACACCAACAAACACCCGGCAGGCGTGAATGTGCGTGTGATTGTGTGCTTGAATGTGCATCTGCTTGAATGTGCATCTGCTTGAATGTGCATCTGCTTGAATGTGCATCTGTGTGTGCGTGGAGTACAGAACACACGCACCAAACGGCTACCAAGCAAAGCGCGCGAGCATTAAGGCCACGGCATGATTGAACACGACAAGGCAAGACGCATGCAGACCTGCAACAGGCTCCTCGACGTCAAATTCGTCGGGATGCTCCTCCTCCGGCAGTTCAATCACGCTGACAAGCGTCTCCAGCAGCTTGGCCCACAACTGCCGCGCGCACACACGCAGGGCAAGGGGGGGGGGGATGATGGTGGTTGTGAGAACAAAAACAAAAACAAACCACCAATATGAATTATGCACACACACACACACACACACACACACACACACACACACACACACACACACACACAGTTTGGCGGCGGTACCTCTGGCTGGGACATGACGGTGTTGCTGGCGCAGAGCATCTGGGTGATGCCAATCACACAGGCCTTGCGCTCGGCGTCGCCCGACACCTTTCGCACGTCCTCCATGATGCGGTTCAGCACCATCCCAAACAGCCCAGGTTGGATGCTGTTGTTTGGTTGTTTGTTTGTGTGTATATGTGTATGAGTGTGTTTGTTTGTTTGTGTGTGTGTATATGTGTGTGTGTGTTTGTGTTTGTTTGTTTGTTTGTTTGTGAGTGTGTTTGTGTTTGTTTGTTTGTGTGTGTGTATATGTCACTTGAGCGGGGAGTCGAGCGGCGGAACAAACACAAGACATGCAGGCACTAACATGAAGCAACAACAACATACATCAGCGCAACGCAATACACACAATACACGCGTACAATACACAACAACATGCTCTCTGCGTTTGTCATGCACCACTCACGCATCGAAGATCTGGGCGACTGTGTTTGGATCGCGCACGCCGGTGAGGAAGCAGACGAATGTGATGAAGTTGGAGGTGAACTTGGCTGTTCGGGAGCCTGTCATGCGTGCAAGCATGAGGCGCATCACTGTCTCCATGTACGGGGCAAGCATCTCGTATGGGAGGTTAGCCACCATCGCAGTGAGCAGCTTGAAGCCGTCTTGGTCGTGCGCCTGATGGTGTTGGCAAGAGGAAGGGGCGAGAGATAGGAAGGGACACCGTCAGCACATGCCCACATGACGACATGAGATTATATCACGTGACGACATTTGAGCTGTCGATGCGCAACACAAATCAGACGCACGTCCAATGCACAATAGCCAGCAAAGCACCAAAAAAAAAAAAAAAAAAAAAAAAAAAACCTCCACAGGGCCCTGCTCACCACCACCACCACCACACCTTTGATGCGATGAGCTTCTGGAACACGCCGAGCAAGCCCTCAATCTCGGCCGTGCCGCTGACCACCGTGGTCTTGCCCACTTTGAAGAAGGCGCAGAGGAAGCGAACAAGCGGGGTGGTGTTGGCACCAGACTCCCACAAGCCCGGGTTGGTGAGGTGCGGAAACAGACTCATGTACGTGTCTGGCACTGGTGGCTGCCGCAGCTCAAGCAACTGCGCAAGCAGCTGGAAGATGTACGGCTGGAACTCTGCAGGCAAACAATGGGGGCGAAGAGAAGTGTTGGTGGTGGTGACAGAAAAGGATGGTGATGGGTGGCGGTGATTAGTGTGTGGAAACACGTCACGAGATGAGAGGACGAGAAGACAAGCACGGGCGAGGGTGGTGCAAATAGACACCTACTGGTGTTTTGCTTGTGGCACGGCACGCAAGCAAAACAACGACACGAGACCAGAACACGTGCGTGGCTGCATGTGTGTTGCTGTATGTGCGTTGCTGTATGTGCGTGGTTGTATGTGCGTGGTTGTATGTGTGTGGCTGTATGTGTTGCACCTTCGACGTCGTTTGTGAGGAGGAGTTCAAATGGCGGGAAGAGCGCCGCCTCAAACTTCTCCAGAATCTCGTGGCTCGTCGAGCACGAGAACCTGATGTATCCACACCATGCACAGCAAATGGCACGGGTCAGCGCACCGACCACGTTTGATGTTGTGTGTGTGTGTGTGTGTGTCTGTGTGTGTGTGTGTGTGTCTGTGTGTGTGTGTGTGTGTGTCTGTGTGTGTCTGTGTGTGTGTGTGTGTGTGTGTTGGGCACAACGATATGCACCAGCTCACATTGTGACGGACACGAACAACCCTACCAGCTAACAAAGTGCGACTTACCGGATGGCGGAACCAAACGCCTCAAACATAAAGTGGTTGAAGCGTGGACGGCCAGGGTTCTTGGCAACCTCCAGCAAGATGGCTGCAAGCTTGTCCACAATCGTCACAATGTAGGGGAGGATGGCAGCCTTACAGGCCACAATCGTGCGCATAATGGCTGAAAAAGAAAAAATTGAATGCGAGCAAGCACGGGTGAGTGCACACATGAGAGCGAAGGGGGCACGTTGGCACTAAATGCAAAGAGAGCAGTATCAAGCGAAACATACTCACACACGTCAAGTTGCACATGCCATGGGCACACAACGTGACACAACACGACGAAACAACAACACACTCGACGTCACCAAACAATACACACAACCACCCCGTTATGTGTGTGGTGGGTGCTGCTGACCTTTCATGACGTATTCGTTCTCGCCATTGCCGGGGACGCTGAGGGCGTGGAAGAGGTTCGTGAGGAGGGACTCAAGATGCGGCGTGACGACATCAACGGGGAGCAGCAGCGCCCCTTGGCGACGCGACACAAGCTGCCGCTCAATGCACGCTGGACAACAACATCAAGGGGAGACAGGAGGAATGGGAGGGGGAGTGGGTGGCGTGAGAGGATGCAATGGAAAACGGCAAATGGCAGTAATCAACACGCGTTCAGGAATGTGCCTCTGCATCCATGTACGCCGGTGTAGGTGTGTGCGTGTGCCTGTGCATGTATCTGAAACGTGCATGGTGAATTGTGTGTGTGTGTGTGTGTTTGAGGCTGCAGACAGGCCCATTCGTGTGCGTCTGTCTCACCAGCAGCGTAGGAGTTGACGACGCAGATTGGGGAGGAGAGGTGGTGGATGAGGTAGGGCAGCACCCCGGCGTTTGTCTCGTGCGCCAGCTGTCACACGCAACGTGGCCAAGAACAAGAGAACGTGGGGAGTAAGAAAAGGCAAGTGAGTAAGAACGCAAATGAGGAATGCAATCTTTGGTGGCCACTGTAACAAGCACACACACGTGCATACGCGTACGAGCATATACACACAGAGGGGCGAATGCACTAGGCAACTCACGTGACCGCGGAAAGTGAGGACGTATTTGATGGCGTCCGCAACGAGCACAGGATGGGAACCGGCATCCTGCGACACACGTGGCGATGACAAGAAGAAGGACGCATACATGTCACGCAGGACAGGCAGTCCGATTGTGAGTAGCAGCTACGAGGAACGCCCGCGCCACGACGCACGTTGTTGACACACGAGACGGCGAACTTTCTGCCACACACACACACACACACACACACACACACACACACACACACACACACACACACACACACACACACACACACACATTTACGCACGTACCGGCTTGAGATGTGCGACGATTACGTTGTGGAAAAAGTCTTCAACGTTGATAAACTGGTTGGTCTCTGTGGTGCCAGCGCTCGCTGTCTTGCTGCGCACCGCCTGCACAACGACACAATCGTTGAGAATGTGGAACATGAGGGGGAGAGTGTGGCGCGTGCACATAAAGAAATAGACATACACACACATGAAGCAACACACACACACATATAAATCAACACACACATAAAGCGACAGACAGGCACACATACACAAAGAAAGATAGAGATAGAGACAGTCAGTCAGTCAAGCAGTCAAGCAGACAACAGCCACAACCCAAACACTGGGGCTGTCCCGTTCCAATCTTTGTTTGTCTTCTGGTGTGTGCACGTACGAGTGAGGTGACAAGGAAGATGGCAACATCCTTCGACTTCCAGTTGTTGACGGGATCAGCCTGATACGTCTGCACACGGATGCACACACACACACACACACACACACACACACACACAAGCAGCAACATGGGATGAGATCCAGCAAACCAAATGGTCAGAAGTTAAAATGGCACAGTAGAGCACAATCATAGAACGAGAAGCATGGAGGGGTACCTCGATGAGGGTGGAGACGTGGGCAGAGAAGATGTCGGTGACCTGGCTCTCAAAGAACTTGCACAGTCCACGCACAAGGTCGCAGGCAGCGCGGCGTCGCGTGTCAACATCTGCATTCGTGGGCAGAGATGACAGGGGTGGTCAGTGATGATGATGATGATGATGATGATGATGATGATGATGATGATGATGATGATGATGATGATGATGATGATGATGATGATGATGATGATGATGATGATGACGACAGTGGTGCGTGTGCGTGCGTGCGGGTGGGCGTGCGTGCACATACGCAACAGTGGCTGGCATGTGACCGAAAGCAACTACACCCCTCTGTATGAGCATGACCCTCTGCTCACCTGAGCCCTCAATGTCGCGTCGGATGTACTCCTCCGCGTTGTCCTCGAAAATCTCCTCGTCCGCCTCCCGGAAGTACATGTTCGGCACAATCACCTGCACACGGGCAACCCAGAATGGTGGTGACGGCACACAGGTCGGCGCGGGTGGATGGTGGGAACGGTGAGGCTTGACACAATAACGAAGAGGCCCAACACAAAGTCGCAGTTTTCAACAGAGGGCCGCAACTCCACCGTGCAATCACCACACATGCCACCGCTGACGCAATCACGCATGCAACCACACACGCCACTGCTGTGCTGCAGCATCGCACCTGCTCGCAGATTGCCTTGAGGACGGCCTCGTCGGAGAAAAGATCCATGTTCTGCTTCCGCTCGGACACAGACGTCAGGAAGTTCATCGCAGTGCTCACAAGCTGGCACACAGGAATGGCAGCGCACACGTGGAAGGGAAGGAGGGAGTGAGTGAGAGTGTGTGCGAAGGAGGCAGTGTGCCAGTGAGTGTGAATTTGAGTGTGCGTGTGTGTGTGTGTGTGAACGAGTGTCCATGTGAGTGTGTGCGAGGGTGTGTGTGTGTGTGTGTGTGTGTGTGTGTGTGTGTGTGTGTGTGTGTGTGTGTGTGTGTGTGTGTGTGTGTGAGTGAACGAGTATCCATGTGAGTGTCCATGTGAGTGTCAATGTCAGTAGTGTGTGCATCATGAGAGGGTGGCTTGTGCGTGCGGTCGACAGGAGCAACATAAAAACGAGCCAAGACAACTGTGTGACAAATAGATGTCCTTACGTAATCGTTCTTGACTTCAAGACCGGTGGTGGTGAGCAAGTGCCACACAACGTCCACAAACTGACGCAGGTAGATCTGTAGCGGCCGGGGGAGGGGGTGATAAAGAACGCATTGTCATGGGCCAGAACATGCGGAGCGGTTGAACAACAACATACCTATAGATGAAATAACACAAGCAACACATACACACACACAAGCATACACACATGCACACACACACACAACACACACAAGCATACACACGCAATCAAACAAAACAGACACAGACATAGCCAAACAAACAGCCAGCAGACGCACCTGGAACTCCTCGTCGTACTTCTGTGCGTAGAGGCTGATGCAGGCGCAAATCTGGCCCTTCACCTGCTGCACAACGCCTGGCTTCTCCAGGTCGTCGTCATCAAGCTCGGGCATGTTGGGCAGCTTGAGCAGCGTGAGAAACCCGTGCATCCACTCCTCCATGTGATCCTCAAAGAACGCAGGCAGGTCCTGCCCACCCGTGCGCACGATTGGTGGTGGTGCAGGGTGTGATGGTGGATTGTGGTGTGACAGCACGTTGTCGTGTGAGAAATGTGAAGAAATGACCTGCTTGGGCTGACACCATGTCGTGTTGCATGTTGTTGCTTCTAGTGGTTTGTGACTGTTGGGCCTGGCCCAACTACATGGATTCCCAAGCGCGCACACACACACACACACACACACACACACACACACACACACACACACACACACACACACACACACGCACACGCACGCACACACACGCACACACGCACGCACACACGCACACACGCACGCACGCACGCACACACGCACACACACACACACACAATAGTCACGTATTATGCGCACCTGGAAGTTGAGGCTGTAGAAGATCTGCAGAACAAGCTCTGTTGCCTCCAAGACGGGCACGAGTTGGGCGGGCTCGCTGGCCAGCTGCTCCACAGCCTTGACGCAATTGCCAAACAGCGTAGTCAGCGGTTGCGCGAGGGTGTCGATGACGTACTTGATTTCGATCCACAATTCGTCGCTACGCTCCTCGTACCGATACCTTTGCCATCGCGCGTTTGTGTGCGTGCGTGCATGTGTGTGTGTGTGCATTTGAAAGTGAGAGAGTGTGTGTGTGTGCGTGCGTGCGTGTGTGTGTGCAATTGTGTGCGTGTGTGTGAGCATGTGTGCATGCGTTTTGTGATTGGCGGGTGAGCAGCGGCCACGAGAGGGTTGACATAAGGAAAGCGGCAGTGAGTCCAACACACGTGTGCGTATGGCGATTCAACAACATTCGCACAACTATCACTGGTGTGTACCCGTGCTCACACCAAGAACATCCGCACACACGTGCGCACGTGCGCGCGCAGTCAATGTGCGGGCGCCAAGGACCACGACTACAACAAGCACATAGCAGGTACGCACTTCCAGAAGATGGGGTCTGCGGCGCGGAGGACGCCCTTGATGGCGTTGAAGTCGGTGCCTTGGAGATGCTCGATGAGGCTGGGCAGGAGCTGCTGCCAGTGCTCCGGGAAGTCGGACTTGGCGATGCGGGCGATGGCTTCGCAGATTTGCTTCTGCACGTACTGCGGGGTGTTGAGCATGATGGAGATGATTTGCGTCTTGATTTGCTCTTTGTCCGACTGGGCGAGGCTGTTTTCCTCGGAGGCCCAGCGCCTCTTGACGACGTTCTTGAAGGTGATGGCGGCGGCCTGTCGCACGCCGCGGTCGAGCGAGTCCGTCATCATTGTGTTGACCAGAATCATGAGGAAGCCCTCGTTGTGCTCCACTGACTCGAGAAACTTCTCCGCCTCCTTGCGCGTGGCCGGGTTGGGGTCCAGCGTCTGCTGGAGGTAGTGCACCATCGTCTGCACGTTCTCGTCCATCTCTCCGGTCTACTTTGTTTGTTTGTTGGGGGCGGGGGTCAGTCAGGGCTGTCTGTCGTGATGCTGAAAGGGTTTCAGGCTCGGTCAGAGGTGGATGCTGCTGCTGCTGCTGCTGCAGTGGAAAGGTGGTGCACGTTCTCGCGCTTCTCTTGCTTGGTCCGTTATTCAGGCAGCTGGCTGGTGGCTGGCGAATTTGGCTGTGCGAAAATTTTGTGCTGTCGCGTGCTTTTCCCGCAAGGTTGGTGGATAGTATCCGCACTCTACGTTTCGCACGAACTTTGCCCTTGACGTGGCACAGGCCTTGCTTCTGCGGCTGTTTTGTTTGTTTTGTTTCTTCCCTTTTCCCAAGTGTGTCAGTGGCCGTCATTCTGCTCCGCCTTGCTTCATTCATTCGCCTCTGGCTCACTTGCTCGCTTGCTCACTTGCTCACTCCCCTGTTGTTGATCCAGCCAGCCAGCCAGCCTTCTGCTTGCTTGTCCACCAAACACCACAGCGACCTGAAGGAAGATGTTTGTTCGTGGTAGCCAGCGCCTGCTGCGCGCAGGCCGCATGATGTCGACGGCTGCTCGTGCCTCTGCGACAGCCACGTCCCGCACTGCCCGTGTGGCCACGCTGGCCCTCGGTGTCGGTGCTGCCGGCGCCGCCGCCTTCGCCGCCACCCCTGCCGCCGCGGAGTGCTCCTGGTGGAACCCGCTGTCGTGGTTCTATGGCGTCGACTACAACCAGCTCCGCGCCGACATTGAGGACATTGCCGACGACAACATGGCTGGCCCTCTCCTCGTTCGCCTCGCCTGGCAGTGCGTACACACACACACACACTCCTCGCGCTTTGTTTTGATTTGTTTGTTTTGTGTTTTCATTGTTTTGAATTCGTGGTGGCTGTCATTGTCCATCGTGTGTTTGTGTATCTGTAGCGTGTCGTGTGTGTTTAGTGTTGTGGAGTGGAGTGGAGTGTTGTGGAGTGTGTCTGTTTGTGTGCACTGATGTCGGTATCGTTGCGTCATACGCGATCGCACACGCACACGCACACACACACACACACACTCTCTCTCTCTCACGTGCGTTTGCGTCCTCTCCACTGTAGTTGCTCTGGCACGTACGACAAGAAGACCGGCACTGGCGGCAGCAACGGCGCCACCATGCGCTTTGCCCCCGAGTCCTCCGATGCTGCCAACGCTGGCCTCGACAAGGCCCGCAACCTCCTCGAGCCCCTCAAGGCCAAGTACCCCTGTAAGTAGCTATGTGTGTGTATGCGTGTGTGTGTGTGTGCACAGTGTGATTGCTTGTTCTCTGCTCTCATGTTGTGTCGTCCATAACCTGCACTTTTATTCACTTCGCGCACGTATTCTCTTGACACTGCTCCCACCAGCTAGCTCACTTTCCCCTGCTGTTTGTTTGCGCAAACCCTTGTGGTGTGCCTGCTTCATTTGTTGTGGTCAGCCGTCTCCTACGCCGATCTGTACACGTTTGCTGGTGTTGTTGCTGTTGAGAGCATGGGCAGCCCCAAGGTCAAGTGGTCCCCTGGCCGCACGGACGCTGCTGACGGCAAGGAATGCCCTCCCAACGGCCGCCTCCCTGATGCCACCCAAGTGCGTGCATTTCGCTTGTTTGTATGTATGTGTGCGTGTGTGTGTGTGTGTGTGTGTTGTCTGTGTGCGTGTGCGTGTGTGTACGTGTTACCCGTGTGCGTACGTGTTGTCTGTGTGCGTACGTGTTGTCCGTGTGCTTATCGGCCCCCTCCTGTCTGCTTGTAGCGTCTCGTGTCGCTTGCGTGCATGCATGCATTGTCACCCCCACCCCCCCCCCCCCCAACGCCGTATGACAACCCACCTCGCGCATCCCACTCACCCTTTGTTCCCATCTCCGACGATTAGGGCGCGTCCCACCTGCGCGATGTGTTCTACCGCATGGGCTTCAACGACCGCGAGATTGTCGCCCTCGCCGGCGCCCACACCCTCGGCCGCTGCCACATCGAGAACTCCGGCTTTGACGGCCCATGGACCCGGTACAACCCCCTTCGGTGTATGTGTGTGGGTATGGGTGAAGCGGTGTAGCGGTGTAAGGTTGCATGTTACATGAAGCAGTGGCCCAAAAGCGCCTTCTTCGTTGCCACGCACCTACGCATCCACTCGCCACTCATCACCTCCCCCCCCCCCCCTTTTTTTTTCTTCTCTTGCCGTACCTTCTTTCTTGCTTGTTCTTCAGCGACCCATATGGCCTTGACAACGACTTCTTCCGCCTTCTGATTGAGGAGAAGTGGACGATCCGCCCCAACTTCCAGCCGCTGCAGTACGAGGACTCGAGCAAGGAGCTTATGATGCTTCCCACGGACATGGCCCTCGTCTGGGACCCCTCCTTCAAGCAGTATGTGGAGCTCTACGCAAAGGACGGCGACCTCTTTCTCAAGGACTTTGCCGAGGCATTTGGCAAGCTTCTCGAGCTCGGCGTGCCCCGCAACTGAGCACACGCACACGTCCACATCACACAGGCAGCGCTTGCAGCCTCCCACCATCAACCTCAACTTCAATTTCAACCTCCACCCCCGCCTCAATGCCGCCGTCACCTGCTTGTTTGCTTCCATGCACCGCCTGTGTGCGCGTCCTTGCGGAGCTGATGGCACCTCTGGTGGCTGCTGTTATTACATGAAGTGATACACGAAACATACATCGACCTGTTGTCCTGTTTGTTTCGTGCAATTTGTTCTCCCCCTCCCACCTTCCTTCTTCCTCCTCCTCCACAATACAGACGAAAATGTACACGCGCATGCTGCTGCTGCATGCATCATGAGAAACGCGCACGCGAGAGAGAGAGAGAGAGTGTGTGTGTGTGTGTGTGTGTGTGTGAGCAGATGGGTTGCCTATTGTCAAAAAGGAGGAAGCAATCTGGTTGTATTGTTTGCAAGTTGTACGCGGTGGTTGAGATGGAGATGGTTGGTTGGCGAATGTTGGCAGAACGACTTTCTCCCAAACAGAACACAAGAGAGACGCAGACAACGTGTGTGTGTGTGTGTGTGTGTGTTGTGTACGTGTGTGTGTGCGTTTGCAGTAAGCGAGGAAAGAAGTCACGGCTGTTGTGTATGTGTGACACGACAAAGGCTCGTCGTCATCAGAGCTCGTCCTTTGCGGCCGTGTTGGTGTCGTCCAACTCATCAAGGTCAATGTCGTCGAGCTCGGAGAGGTCGATTTCGTCCTCAAACGTCTCCTCGGGGGCGTCACTGCCGTCCCAGGCGGTGATTGCGGTCACCTGTGGCACCTCCCCGCCAATCACAGCAGCCGTCGGCACGCGCCCGGCAACCTGACAAGGGAGATTCGGGAGGGGGTGGGAGGGGGTGAGCAGCGGACATGGGATTCATGAGATACAGGTGCGGGGGGGGGGTGACGCATGCAAGGGAAAATAGCGCACGAGCAAGGTATCACATGCAGAGGCAGGAGAGGGGAAGAGAGGGAGAAGGGGAGAGCCAAGGAGACAGAGAGACAGAGAGAGAGAGAGAGAGAGAGAGAGAGAGAGAGAGAGAGAGGGAGGGAGAGAGAGAGAGAAACAGGGAGGGAGAGAGAGGGAGGAGAGAGAGAGAGAGAGAGAGAGAGAGAGAGAGAAAGGCAGGTGGGAGAGAGGCAGACAGACAAAGACAGACAGAGACACATACACACACACAAATGCACGCCGTGCACCGTGCACTTCACACACCCTCACAACACTCACGAGCGAGTTGACAAACTCCTTGATGGAGTCCTCCGTGTAGGCGCCGCGAAGGACAGCAAACTTCTTCTTCTTGCTGTTAAAGGCAGCAAGGGCAGGGTAGCCAAAGCCGCCGACATCAAACGCGCGCTCCAGCGCTGGCTGCTGGCCACCAACGGCCCAGACCCAGCCAAAGGGGCGGGACTTGTAGCGCTCGGCAAGCGACGTCTGCACGGCGATGAGGTCGTTGCGGCCCGAAGCGCCCGTGTCCAGGATGTCCGGGAGGAAGGAGATGAAGCAAATCTGGTGGTCGGTGCAGTGGGAGGTGAACACGTCTTCGTCTGTGACCTGCTTCACCTCTGGTGGCGGCTTGTTGGCCTGGGCCAGGTTACGCGCAAACTGCACGATGGACGCGGCGTCGCGCTGTGACGTGTAGTCCTCCGCCTCTCCGCTCTTTGCACCACCAGGGAACACCTGCATATCCGCACACGCACAGGGTTGGTGCAAGGGTGGCACGGTGGTGAGGAGAGATGAGTGTTGACAGATAGACAGACAGGCAGTCAGGGAGTCAACCCGAGACAGTAAAAGACAGTCAGTCGCACAAGGAGACAACAAATAAAACACACGCACACACACACACACACAGAGATGCACACACACACACACACACACACACACACCTTGATGGTTGGATATCCGCGAACACCGTAGCGGCTTGCGAGCTGGGTGTGGACGGTGGCGTCAACCTGGCCCAGCTTCACCTCGCCCTTGAGCTCTGCAGCCGCCTTGGCCCACTCGGGCTTCAGCCGCTGGCAGTGGCCGCACCAGGGAGCAACAAAGGCAACCAGCCACGTGTCGTCGCTGCCAAGCACGTCCTTGTTGAAGCTGGACTCTGTGAGCTCCACAACAGCACCCTTGCCGCCAGAGCCAGAACCAGAGCCAGAGCCGGACGACGACTTGCTGCGCCGTGAGCCGCCGTTCAGGCGGGACGTCACCGTACTGCGCACTTCCTTGAGCGCCGCATCCACCAGCGCCTGCGCCGTGCGCGCACCTGCATGACATGTGTGATAGGGAAGAGGGAGCGAGGAAGGGGACGGGCGGGGAGTGCGAGAATTGGACAAGATGACCACAATCTCGAGACATTGGACCATGCAACAGCACGAAGGAAGGAACAGGACAAAAAGCGAAACTCGCGTGCGACTGCACACACGCACGCACACACGCACGCACGCACGCACGCAAGAACACAACCACGGGGCATGCGCTGACGTACCGTTGTAGTCACTGGGGGACTTCTTGTTGGCACCAAAGACCTTGATTGTGGGGAAGCCTTGGACGTTGTACGGGCCACCGAGAGACTGGTGCTTGGTCATGTCCACAGCGCCCATCTTCACCACGCCCTTGAGGGCCGTTGCGGCCTTGCTCCACTCCGGCGCCAGGCGTTGGCTGCATGCATGTGCGCATGTGGCAAGAGGGGGGGGGGGGGTGGGAGTGTTGGTTGAGATGTGAGAGATGTGGCATGTGGACGACCAAAAGGGAGGAGCTCAGCTTCAAGCGAGAAGGATGCCCAGGCGATGCATGAGCAAGTGCGACTCACCAGTGGCCACACCAAGGCGCTGCGCAAGCCAGCCAACACAAAGCAAGCAAGGCCAACGTGAAGGTGAGTGTGTGTGTGTGTGTGTGTGTGTGTGAGCATGACTATTGATAGCAACGCGAATGCAGGCCTGCAGCAACGCAGGCAGCGACGCGCGTACACGCACACACACAAACACACACACACGAATACGCACACACACATGAATACACATACACACATGAATACACACACACACACACGAATACACACACACACACACGAATACACATACACACACACGAATACACATACACACATGAATACACACACACACACACGAATACACACACACACACGAAACACACACACACACACACACACACACACGAATACACATACACACATGTTCACACACTGACCGTAGAATTCGACCATCCAAATGTCGTCACTGGACAGCATCTTGTTAAAGGAGGTGGGGTCAAGCTCAATCACGTCCGAGGCTGCGGCAGCCACGCGGCCCATGCTGGCCAGCGCCAGCACAGCCATGGTGGCCGCTGCAGCAACACCAACAGCGCCTGTCCTCATCATCTTCCCTAACTCGTCAGCGCTTCTCGTTGCTCTGTCTGTCGTTGTCTTGGTTGTCTTGGTTGTCTTGGTTAGTGGTTGACACGTCAGCAACACAAACGACTCCTTCCTTCCTTCCTGCAGTTTCTTGCTGTTGTGTTTTCTTGTGTTGTCGTTTATCGTGGCGGGGAAGCAAAGGCTGGCTGGGTGCGAGGCGTGCATGGCAACACACACCGCCACCAGCAAGCAAGTAAGCAGGCAAGCAAGCAAGGGTATTGTAAAGGTTTTACAAGCGAGCAAGCACAGGAAGCAAACGGTGGTCATGAAAAGGGGGGAATGAACAAAGAAAGGAAGGAACAAGGGGGGTGGAAGGGTAAAGGTAAGCTTGTTGGGAGAGCAGGAAAAAGGACGGTCCAGCAGCCCCCATTCATTGGGTTTAGTCCTTGAGCTCCTTGTGGCGGGCCTTGCCCTCCATGCCGAGGCGGACCTGGATGTTGGAGAGAGCGAGGCTGCCGCTCTCGAAGATGGGGTCCATGCCGGCACGGAAGAACGCGCGCCACGACGGGGCCAGGGATGCAATGAGCAGGAACATGAGCTGGTTGAACGGGCCAGCCATGTATGTGTACATGAAGCGAGCCATGCCCATGAAGAAGCCCACGGTGATGGCCGCCAAAAAGCCGAGGAACAAGGAGAAGATGATGTGGATGGCATCGCTCATGCCTTCGTACAGGATCCTGTTGAGCTTGCGCACGCTCTCCAGAGCAGGGCCAGGCTTGGACACCTCAGGAAAGGAATCATCAAACTCAATCTGGGGGGGGGGGGAGAGTAGGTGGGGGAGGGGGATTGGACAAAAGCGAGCAACAACAACAACAACAACACGGTGAGATGCAACAATGGTTGTTAGCAAGGCGAATGAAAGGACTGAAATGGGGGAGGGAGAAGGAGACGAGACAAACAGACAAACAGTGAAAGCCGGCAACATCCCACGCACGCAAGCACACACAAACACACACATGCACGCACACGCAAACACACAGAGACACACAAACACGCACGCACACGCAAACACACACGCACACGCAGACACACACGCAAACACACAAACACACCTTCAGGGTTGTGGTGTCGAGACGGTAGGCATCGGAGACTTGGGAAATGGGGCCGAGATACTTGAGCTGGCGCTCAATGTACTTCTCCTCGGCCTCTGGATCGGATGGGGGCGGGGCTCCAAAGCCACCGGGCGTGAAGATGGTCGGATAGGTGGTGGTGGATGTTGGGGTGGGCCCCACATACGATGGCGCAGCGGCACGCGCCTGCTGCTGTTGCTGGTGGTTCACCGAGCTTGGAGGGGCGTAAGGGGGCGTCTGGTAGGAAGCGGTCGACGACGACGCGGCCTGAGATCCAGCCGTCAGTGGCGTGTTTTCCTTGTGGTACGACATGGTTGGTAGCGGCTGGTTGGAAAGTGTTCACAAAAAGCAAAAGGAACGCGGGGAACCTTGTTGTTGAAAGGTGTAAACGGTTGTATGTTATCACCCACAAAACACTGCAAGCCGAAGCAGGGACACGCAAACGCGCACGGTGTGCTGTGAGTTGGCGGTGGGCAGGGCGGAGGAAGAGCAAAGGAAGGCAACACAACCCCAAGAAAACAAAGGCAGTGGCAGCACTGCTCCAGTGCAAGCACGGTTCTCACATACCTCAACAGCGATGGTGGCAGGTGCGGTTGTTGTTGTTGGTCGTTGGTGCCTGTGAAGATGGGGGGGAATGGATGGGAGAGCGCGTGAACACCCCCCAACGCAGGTGTCTTTCCAGCCGCAGCGAAAATTCGTCACGGGAGCTGATGACTCATCGATGAGTCATTGCTGACTCATCGATGAGTCATCGTGCTGAGCATAAACGTGCATCAGATTGGAATCGACAATTAAAAAGGTGGAACAACATCGATATGCCGCCAAAGCTTTGAACGAATCATAGTTGTTGTTTCGCTTTGAGCTCTCTCTTGCTCTTGAGCTTTTGAGCGCAGGCTAGGCGATGCTTCTGTGCTTTCGTCTCTCGCTCTCTCGCTCTCTGGTTTCTCGCTCTCCTGTCTGCAGGTCTGCTCTCACTCTGCTCGGCTGAAAAGCTGTTGTTGAAGCCTGGCTAGGCTTTTCTCCACTGGTCACATGATGACGACTGGCAACTGCGTGCACCCTTGCACTCTTGCATGTGCATGTACCTTCGTAAGTGCAGATGTGATTATGTTTTTAGGATATCAGACCTGGAGGAAACCGAGTGATCACACACAGAGACATAGAGACAAAACAAAAGCCTAGCTCGAACAGGTTTGAAGAAGCACATCCCAACACTTATCCAGTGCACAACCACCTCACCCACTCTACCCACAATGCACGCGCCAGCAGCAGGCAGCAAGGCAGCAGGTAACGACACACACAGGACACAGTTCCTGGCTCACTTTTACTCTCTCTGGCTGTGCTGTGCTGTGCTGTGCTGACATGCGGATGTCAGCACACACAAAAGGCAAAGGCAACCCGACTGGAACCGAATAAGCATCCTCTTGCAGCCCTTGCAGCCTCGAACACTGGCTCTTGCTCTATCGTGCTTCATCGTGCGTTGGGGGTTTCCATGAGGCAAGCAGCAGCAGCCTCAAACACCAAACACCAAACACGCCACGACGCAAGGCAGCAGCGCAGCACAGCACGGATGTTCAGGAGTTTTTCTCACAACCAACACACACGTGCGCGCGACACAGTGTGTTGGTTCGTTGACTTGCTGTGATTGTGCGAGGCAACTGGGCGAAAGCGGCAGCAAAAGCGGCAACAAAGCAGCAGGTGCCGTCTCACGACGCTGTCTTTGGCGGGCGCGGTGTTTCGTCTGGTTGGATTGGGTTTGACCTGCTGCAAACAAGGACACGAAGCAGGAGAATAGATAGAAGGAACAGACAGCAGAACCACAATCACAACGACTGTGACTGGGTTTTGATTCTCGCCTCTGTTTTCAGCTGTTTCTGCAAACCAACACACCACACACCACGTGTTGTTTCAGTTCACTGAAAACGCACGCCGGCACTGACGCAACACCGAAACGGCAGTTTGATTGCCCTCTCCTTGCTTCCTTGCCTTGCTTTTGCGCCCCAGCAGCAGCAGCAGCAGCAAGAAGGGAAGCATTGAAACGTGAATCTGCCTGCCTGCATGCAAGCAAAGAGCAACAAACACAGAACAAGCAACATATCGCACCACACACACATGCAGATGCAATTGCAGGCAGAAAGGCAGAAGTCGTCCCCACTGACTGATGCGTTTCGTTTCCTGTCCTTCTTGCTTGCATCTTGCACAATGCAGCTGAGGTTTAGCCACATCTTCCATTGAAACGGCGCATGTCAAGCGAAGAAAGGCAACCAGCTTTTTTGCTTTTGCGGTTGCTTTGGTTTGGTTTCTTCTGCTGCTGCAAAGCAAACACCGCACCCACACAGCACCCCCACACACGTGTGTCGATTGATTGATCGATTGATTGAGTGTGTGTGACCTTACGTCAACTCACAACACGCCATTGCAACAAAACACAGCAGCACATCCAACACATCCAACGCCCTCCAACACATCCACGAAGCAAAAGCGAAACAGCAAACATCCACCACGCAAGCTGGCCCCACAATGTCACCACACCGCCCCCTCCTCGTGCCCCAACAACACCAGAACATCACCGCACCACGAACAGCAACCTGGGGGGCCACCCGCCGTGATGTGCTGATGCTTGCTGCATGATGGTGTTCATTTTCTCCGCGATCACCATCAACCTCAACATCACCACCCGCTCTCACAAGCATCCCTCGCAAGAAAGCGCCCGCACCCCGCACCCCGCACCCGCACTTGCTGCACTGAACGCAAGGAACCCAGCATCATCATCATCATCATCATCATCATCATCATCATCATTGCGCCAATCAATCAACGTTCTCAAGAGCACCACTCAACTCAAGAACACCACCGCCACCACAACAAGAAGCAAGCCAGGCTCAAAACAACACACCACCAGCCAGCCAGCCAGCAGCAGCAGCAACAACAACAACAACAACAACACCAACAACAGCGACAAGAGGAAAACAGCATCGCATTCTCAGCGCCAGCACAGCAAAGATGATGATCACCATGATGCCCTCATCTGCCGCCGACACCAACGCTCACGCGAACGTCAACACCAACAGCACCACCACCGGCACCAGCGCCAAGAAGGCGCCTCATCCAATCATGACCAAGACCAGGTCTGCGCCACAGCTGCCGCGCCTGCAGCTGAACAAGCCACGGCCCATCTCCAGCCTGGCCCAGCGCCGCGGCTCCTGCGCAGCGCACCTGGCCCTCCCCGTGTCCGCCATCAACAGCGTGCACAACGACGAGGACACAACCGAGGAGCACTACACCTCGGACAGCCTGGACGCCCTCTTTGAGGCCGCCACCCTCTCCAACCTCGCGTCCCCAGACGCTGGCGACGACGTCTTCGATAGCACCGACGACAGCACCAGCACCGCCACCACCACTTCCTCCTCTGTCATGGCTGCGAGCGCGACCTCGTGCCGCCAACGCCAACAGCGCCGCCGCTTGCGCCAGCGCTACTTTGATCGCCACACCCACCTTGGCAGCCAGTGCGAGGACGACATGATGATGCACGAGGAGGAAGAGGAGGAGGGGGAGGACGAGGGCGGCGACGTGTTTGCCGTTGGCTCGCCGGACTGGAACGAGGCACGGCTGGAGCGCATGTATTTGCTGCGCGGCCCGCTCTCCGCCAACACCACACAGCCCTGCACCACAGCCACCGTGTCTGCCAGTGACTGCATGGACACAGCCGGCGAGCCCGGCCAAGCCAGCTGTCCAGTGGACACACGCCACTACCAGCAAGAGCAACAGCTGCCACAGCAGCAGCCACAACAACAAGAACGACTGCGGTTGCATGATGAGGCGTACACCTTGGGCAGCAGCAGCATTTCTGCCGCTACGGCCGATGACGACGACGGCGCCGACAAGTTTTCCTTCTCCGCACCCTTCACCCCCTGCTATGGCGCCAACTGCGTGGGTGGCGGCGAGGGCAGCAGCAGCAGCTGTGACTGCGGCTGGTTTGACGGGTACGACAGCGCAGAGTACAGCGACTTCCACAACCAGCAGCAGCAAGAGCAGCAGCAGTACTTCTTCCATTACGGATGCCAGCACGGCAGCAACAGTGGCGGCGCCGGCAGCGATGCTGACGGCATGTTTGGCTTCCTCTACGCGCCCGGCGCATGGGCAGCGGATGCCACATAACCGCCAAGAAACCAAGTAGCAGCAGCGACACGCGATTCTCGCGAGGCAACATGCCCTCCTCACCCGCCATCGGGTACAGGGCTCTGGCTCTGTAGGCACGGGTGTGCGCACCGCAGGCCACAGCCATCGCGCCCTTGGTGGTGGCGAATGCACTCACTGATGGTAGAAGACCTGATGGGTGTTGGCCATTGCCAGATGGCCGCAGCTCCGCCACACGCTACGGCTTGGAGAAGCCTCAACGCTCACGGACGCAGAGGCACATGCACACAACGAGCACACGACGACGAGCACCAAGAGAAGCAAGCAGGCAGGCGCAACAGGAGATAAAACGGCCGTCGTGTGTTTACTTTTGCATTCACACACGCACACATGCGCGCCGTCTTTCAATGCTTCTGCAACTGCCACTGCAGACAGTGCAATGTGTGAACTGATGAGCTTAGTTATTGTAATGAAGTGGCTGACCATTTCTCTTTCTGTTAGTCTCTGCTTTCACTATTCTCTAGCTTCTTCTTCTCGCTTTCTTGCTCGGTTGACCAGCAATTAGACACAGCGACAACCTCAAACAATCTCGCAAGCAACATGCACCATGGCAAGCAAGCAACACACGACACACTCTCTGATGGCTGTGTGGTGGCGACTGAATGATGCAGATGGTTTTCCATAATTTCAAACACTTTTCGGATTGTTTGTATTTGTGGTGGTGGACGATGGTGCGACTGGTTCAGTGGGTTGTGGCGGCTGTGGTGGCGGTGTCGGTGGCTGCTACGGCGGTGCAGGGCGATGGAGCCCTGCACGATCCAGCATGGCGTCGCGTGAACCAGTCCGACTGCCCATACGATGACACCGGCGACAGCTGCACGGTAGCTACCCCTCCTTCATACGTGCAGCGATACATTCTCGAGCAGCTACGATTGCTTCGCAAAGCCATAGTTTGCCCTCACAACATATGGATGGCTGCATTGCGCGTCACTTTCGCGCTTGTGGTGTTTGCGGTGCTTGTGTATGTTTGTGGTGTGTTTGTATGTGTCTGTATGTGCCTGTATGTGTTTGTATGTGTTCCGTGGTGTTTGTTCATGGACAGGGTGCGACGGTGGAAGGCTGCAAGGTGAAGTGCGCTGCAGATCCAGCCTGTGGCGGATTCAACTATCCCCACGGGATCATGAAAAAGACGGATTGCTCCGCACACATCTCCACATCTCCAACCGTGGACCTCTACCTGCTCGTGGTGCGTGTTGCCCAGCATGTTGAGAACTTGGCTGCCCTTGAAACATCATATCATGTCACATCACACGGCATGCCTCGCAATCACACACACCCACACCCACACACACACACACGCACACACACACACACACGCACACACACACACATACGCACACACATACACATACACACGCACATACGCACACACGCACCTGTGCAGAAAGACATCAGTGTCAACTGGCCTCCAATCTGGCCCATGCCCAAGTCGTACACCAATGGAACTACAAATCTCAAGGTGAGAGGAGCCTCAGCTTGTGTCCGACTGTCGCCTGTCATCGTGCAGTTGCGATCCCATTGCCCAGCTCTCAACATGCTTGCTTCGTGGCATGATATGACAGGTGGACGGATCCAAGTTTGGCTTCTTCACCACTACGCCGAGTGCCGATTTGACTGCGGCGTTCTCGCGGTTCCGTCCGCTCTTCTTCCCGCACCGCACAAGCGCCTCTCCTGCTGGCGCAACGCGCGGCGTTGACGTCACCGTGCACAACTCGAGTGTGCCGCTGCAGCTGTATGCGGATGAGAGCTACACCCTCAGCGTTCCTGCAGATGGCGGCAACATCTCGCTCACTGCCAATACCGTGTACGGTGCGTATCACGGCCTGCAGACACTCTCCCAGCTCATCTCCTTTGACTTTACTCAACAGGTGCGAGCATTTGAATCGAGCATAGAACGTTGCTTGTGCGTTTGTGTATGTACGTGTGCGTGTGTGTGCGGGTGTGTTTGCTGTGCGATGTGCGCTGCGTGCGTTGCGTGCAGCATGCGCGTGTTTGTGTCCGCACATGTGAACGTTTGTAGCTATCAGCGCGGCAGTGACTCCAGCAACGTGTCGTTGGTGTGTTGCGTCAGGAGTATGTGATCCCTGGTGCTCCGTGGAAGATCAGCGACGCCCCTCGCTTCCCGCACCGGGAAGTCCTCATCGACTCCTCGCGCCACTTTGAGCCAGGTGCGCACGATTGCATGTGGGGTTTCGCTCCACCACTAAGTGGTGTTGCTGCACTTGCCACTGCTCATCCTTTCTCTCTGCGTCTGTCTGTGTGTGTATGTCTGTGTGTGTGTGTGTCTGTATGTGTGTGTGTGTGTGTGCGTGCGTGCGTGTGTGTCGCTCACCCACTCACCCACTCGCTCTCTCTTTGGGTCGCGTTGTTCCCGGACTGCGTCCGCTCATATCAGTGGAAACAATCAAAGACGTGATCACGTCCCTGACGTATGCCAAGATCAACACTGTGCACTGGCATTTGGTGGACAGCCAATCGTTCCCTTTCATCAGGTGGGCGTAGACATGCACGACCGCTTTGCAATGCTTCTTATCCATCGTGCAAATCAACCAAGCCATCAACCATCACCATTCACCAAGACAAGCAGCTGCTTGTCCGTTTGTCCTTGTTTTGTGCTCTGACGATGGGCATTGCATAATCACACCCCAGATGAGGTCGTTGTTCATGTTTTTTTTTTTTTTGTTTTTGCACACCCCTGCTGCTTTATGATGTGCATGTTGTGTCTGTCCCAGTCCAACGTACCCTGACCTTGCAGGCAAAGGGTCCTACTCGCTGCAAGAGCGGTACACGGTTGATGACGTTGCCGATGTTGTGGAGTTTGCGCGTCAGCGCGGTGTCCGTGTTGTCGTCGAAATTGACACCCCAGGTGAGTGCTGGCACGCGTCTCATGAAGCACGTACACGAGACTTAATAGCACCTCTGTGTGCGTGCGTGCGTGTGTGTGTGTGTGTGTGTGTGCGTGCGTGCGTGCGTGTGTGTGTTAATTGTTGATCACTCACTGCGTCACATGTTGGACCGACAATGCCCACCCCGGCCCCTCTCTTACATTGCAGGTCACGCTGCGAGCTGGTGCGCTGGCCACCCGGAGATATGCCCGAGTGCCCAGTGCCAGGAGCCACTCAACCCGGCCACCAACACAACCTTCAACCTCATCGCCGGCCTCTTCAAGGTGTGTGTGCGTGTGTGTGTGTGTGTGTGTGTGTGTGTGTGTGTGTGTGTGTGTGTGTGTGTGTGTGTGTGTGTGTGTGTGTGTGTGTGTGTGTAAAATCATCGGTCGGCACTGCAGCTCATCGCTCTTCTCAACTCAACATTGTGTGGCACCAATCGTTGATCGGCGCCCGTACTTGCGCCTCATCACCACTGTGACCGCCATGTCTCGATCTCTGTATGGCAGGACCTGACCGGCGGCGCTCGCGGCAGTGGACTGTTCCCAGACAATCTGATGCATCTTGGAGGCGATGAAGTCAACACCAAGTGCTGGTCCGAGTCCCCCACGATCAGCAAGTGGATGCAGGACCACGGCCTGACGCCAGATGGCGCATACGCGTACTTTGTCAACCGAACGCAGGTGCAGCGCCAACCATGGCCTGAAGGATGGGGTCACTCGTGCAGGGCTGGGGTTATAGAGTAGTTGTATCATTGCCATGTGTTCGTGTATGCGAATGGTCTTTCTGATCCTCTGCAACACACGCCTTGTATCCCTCCCTCTCTCCCTGGCTGTCTGTCTGTCTGTCTGTCTGTCTATCTGTCTGTCTGTCTGTCTGTCTGTCTGTCTGTCTGTCTGTCTGTCTGTCTGTCTGTCTCCCCCCCCACACACACCATGCAGGCGATTGCGCGCGGGTACGGGCGGGACGTGATTGGCTGGGAGGAGATCTGGGACCACTTTGGAACGTCGCTCGACAAGAGCACCATCATCCACCAGTGGCTGCCCAAATCCTCCATCGCCATCAACGCCACCAAGGCCGGCTACCGTGTGCTGTGGAGCACAGATGGCGCGTGGTATCTTGATGGTCTGTCGGTGACCTGGCAGGAAATGTACGAACAGGAGCCCTGCACGGGCATTGACGATCACCTGTGCGACACCCTCGTCCTCGGCGGTGCGTATGCGGATCCGTGTATGAGCATGCGAAAATTTGTGTGTGTACGTATGTGAATATGTGTACACGTGTGTGTATGTGTATGTGTATGTGTGTGTATGAGAATGTTTGTGTGTGTGTGTGTGTGTATGCGTGTGTGTGTGTATGAGAATGTGTGGGTGTGTGTGTTTGTGCGTGTGTATGTGTATGCTGATCATGTTTGCCGCAGTTGCACGTTGTTCTTGTTTTTGTGGGGCGCTTCCAGCTCGCTTCTTGTTTGTTCCGTGCCATAGCCACATTGCCCTCACACCCACCTCCAACAACCACATAATGCCGTCACGGCACCATCCCAACACCCTGCATACCCCATGCATCAGGCGGCGGGTGCATGTGGGGCGAGACGGTCGACACCTCCGACATCCAGCAGACGATTTGGCCGCGAATGGCTGCAATCGCCGAGCGCCTGTGGTCGCCACGCTCCGTCATAAGCGCTGCACAGGGTGAGCGTGCTTGCAGGCATTGTCGAGGATGGGGGCAAGGAAGTGAATGCTCTTGGCGTACGTTTGTGCTAGCTCGTGCGCGCGAATTTGTTCCAGCTGTACAAAATGAATGCGCGTGTTGCGTGTTTGTGATGCGGGCACCATGGATCAACCACCACCACCACCACCACCACCACCAGTGCCAACGTCATCAGTACCGACGTCATCATGTCACATCACTAGTCCGCAACGCACCATGCACACTTCCTTGCCTCTCTCTCTCTCACGCACAATCTTCCGTCATGGTGTGCCACAATCGCCGTCATCGCAAATCCCCATCCCTCTTTCCTTGCAGCCGATGCGCGCTTCCGCTCCTTCCGCTGTCTGCTCAACCGTCGCGGCATTGCTGCTGCCCCAGCCAACAATCCAACTGCCAGAGAGGCACCACCTCACCCTGGTGGCTGTCTCGAACAGTGAGACACGTGTCCTGCATGTGCGAGTGTGTCTGTGTCGCTGGCATACGCGCATGCGTGTGCGTGTACGTGTCAACTCACACCGCCAGCTCGTCAGTGTTTGTGGCGTGTTCTTGCTCTCCATCATGTTGTCGTTCCAACAACATGCTTGTGTGTGTGTGTGAGTGAGTGAGTGTGTGTGTGTGAGTGAGTGTGTGTGTGTGAGTGAGTGTGTGAGTGAGTGAGTGTGTGTGTGTGTGTGTGTGTGTGTGTGTGAGTGAGTGAGTGTGGCTTCTTTGCAAAGGGGTTTCTTGTGGGTTTCTTTTTTGTAATTGCATTGCAGTACGCGTGCGTGTCTGTCAATGCTGTCCCTGATCCTCCTGTTGGCGAGAGAAGAAGTTTGGTGCCACCTCCACCAGCCACGACTGAACCGCAAGCCGCAAAACAACACACATACAAGTGCAGAGGGGGGGGGGAGTTTGACTTGCTTGGTGAGCGTGCGTATGGGCACAAATCTGATCAACTCAGCACTCCATGCTCAAACAACACGACGCCAACCACCAGCCATCAATACTGTCAATACTGTCAATCAACAATGGTACTTCAGTCAACACGACCACCATCATCAACCCATCATCAACGCATCATCGGGACCACCCACCGGGTCGATGATGCAGCAGTTGCGCATGTAGCGGCGGTTCGTCAGCACAAGTTCGTTGAAGAGAATGCAGCTGCCAAAACGCAATGATGG